CCAGTGGTGCTACCCTCCCAGACAAATCTGGTACCAGTTTGCCTACCCCGGAGGGATGGAAGGCTTGGTAGGCTATGGGCGTTGGGAACGATTCTACGTTCGTGTTGCAGGGCGCCTCCGACCACTGCTCCACGCGTGCCCTTTGGTTTAGTACTCGATATGTTACTTTATGTAGAGAATGAAGGGTTAAGTGTTCGGCATCGACAGATCCTTATTAAGTGAATCATGTCAAAGAATGGTAGAAATGGTCGAATTTATATTTAGCTATAAAATAACTTACACGAGTCTACCTATACATCAATTCAGTGTTTTTCAATCCTGCTATCGTTTTAAAAATTAGCGTAGTGGCCATCATTTTCGCGGTCATTAAAGGACGTAGGGCGATCGGAGATGAACCAAATTTTTATTTTTTGATTTTTACTTTGTATGACTTGTCTTCACGTCTACTGTGCGGATCTCAGCACTTCTCACATTCGATTCGTTTCATCGCATCCATTGTCCGCGAACATCTTCCAACTTTATGTGTGGCTTCGGTAGCTGCTTGAGGATTTTCATTTAATCTTGAATGTCGTAGAATGCTGGTCCAGCATTTCCCTCTAGAGTCCTTAGACAGCCGGGCTGGAGCGTTCCCAATTGGATTGCAGAGTGATTGACCGAATCAAAGACTCTACAAGTTTTGCACGACACCTCGAACCGCTATACTACACGCGCCCAGGAAAAAACTTGTCCATATGTGCACTTTCTGGCTGGAAATAAGTTGCCTATGGTCAAAACATAAAAATTAGCAGCCCTTTATTCGATAGTGTGACGCAATGCCATCATATGTGTTCCTGTTTGTTTGACTATTAATTAAGCTATGCTCACTTACTTAGATAGATATACGGCCGGTCTTCATTGGTTTTGAGGATCCCAGCACATTTTCCATTCGTTTCCTTGCCTCGCAACTGCCGTCCATGATGGTGGTCTGATCCTAGCATGATAGCGAGTTCGGGTCTCATACTGTGATCTGTAAAACATGGGCAGGTGCAAGTTGATCTGATTGATCTTAGATACAAGCATGTAAGCTAAACCCGTATAGGGTCGTCGAAGAAGACGTTTGAGTTCCCATGGAGCCCATTCTGCGGCGCTTTTCGTCTATTTGTAGCCTTTTTTTCTCAATAGATGACCCACTTATGTTTCGGTATCGATGTGTGTTCTCCTACCTCTTGAAGACAGAATAGATTTCGAAAATCAGAGGTTCGCATCAGGCAAGATATTATGTGTGTGAGTATGTGTGTTCATACGTGTGTATGTGTGTATGTGTGTATATGTGTGTATGGTGTGCATGTGCGTATGTGTGTATGTGTGTGTATGTATGTGTGTGTATGTGTATGCATGTGTATGCATGTGTGTGTGTGTGTCGGTTATATTTTAGAAGACGTCGTTCAAGCGCTCTGTGAGTAGTGCGCAGTACTCTTGACGTGGTTGAAGCACCACAGCACGTCTCTGTTGCATAACAGAGCGCTGGGATAACTGTTGAATCGAAAAGGTGAGCACGGATTCCTGAGTCTTTTAGTTCCGCGTGGTTTCTCTGGAAGGCTGGAATGTGGTTCATGCTCCTTACCTTCTTCTCTCTAAATCCTCCTTCATGTTTTTCTCCATGTCCAGTGAACGTCCGAGGTCCATGTATGAGGTGGCCTCTGTAACAAGAGAACCACCCAGTTTGATTTGTTCGCCTTCCCACCATGGGTTTTTCCATGAAATGAGTCCTCTCCCAATTTATGTGTAGTCCGATCATTTTTCCCGCTTCGTCGAGGTCACTGAACATCGCCTCTAATTCGTAAGTACTTTTTGAGAAGGTGACGATGTCATCGGAGAAACGAAGGATTTATAGGAGTTTTTGCATCAATACGTTAGCCTTTCTTATCCCAATCGAGTGACTTCAACATCGATTGCAGTGCGACACTAAACAGCTTTGGTGATATGGTTTCGCCTTGTCGAACTCGTTTACGTGTAGGTATGGTAAGAGATCGAAGGAAAAGCTGTATTTTCGTAATGGATTTACAATAACAGTGAAATGAGGACTGCATTCGTATCAACACTGTCAAGCGCTTTTTCATAGCGGGCAAAAGTCAAGATTAATGGCAGGTGGTATCCCCGACAAACTTTTATGACCCTGGACACGGTTTGTATGTGGTTCATGCAGCAAAATGCTAGTCGGCATCTTGCCTTCTCAACTGTCTGAACCTCAACCAATGTCCTTGATGCGCGATAACCGTACACGATGTCCTCCACTGGTCTGGGACTTTTTCTTCTTGAAAGTGTTCACCCATTGCTCGTTCACCTACAAGTGTTTATTAGTCATATCTTTTTTTTTCTCCTATTACATGTATTCTTATGAATAAAACGATCATATTATTCCTAATAGGACGAGTTATCAGGTAATATGGATTTTACCAGTATCCAAGACTCATTTGTTTTCACTTCATGTCTAGTATAAGGGATAAAAGGATAATGGGTAAAGCTCTCGGCGTTGATCCATCCTTAAGGGATGCACCACGCATTCGACTTCATTAAGCATCGTTTGGAGGTGGTTGAATGCATATCTGGCTTTTGCAATGTCTCGCGGTAGTCTACCGTTATATCGAGCCAGTGCTATCCTCCCAGACAAGTCTGATACCAGTGTGCCGACCCCGAAAGGATGGAAGGTTTGGTAGCCAAGGTACGCGGGGATGGATTCCACGTGTGTGTTGAAGAGCGCCTCCGACCACTTCGCTGTAACTCATAGAAATCTTTCTTAGAATATCTCATATCTTCAAAATCCACAAAAAAATGATTCTTCACTGCGGTTATTTTCAATAAACGAAGAAGACGACCCACATTAACGATTAGCTTCCACTAACCAACAGCCGTATCTCCAACAGCGATGCACCGAAATGCAGCACTTTTTTGTTACCGACGGTTTTGTGTGTGTGTGTGAATCGCTAGTTAAATCGTCTTGTGCTCAAAATAGAATGAGTGTCGTAACATAAATGACAGCATCGTCAGAGTCCACGAATACTGAAAAGCGAAGCAAAGTGAAAACATCTATTCACCTCATCATTGAACTTTGTGGAGAGTTGAACTCGTCGACTGCTTGGTCAGCACGGTATTTTTGATAAAATAGGAAGAAGACGTGTGGATACCATTTACTGGTTTATTTTGGGTGTCAATACGAAGATAGCAGACGAAAAAGGATAGGGGATAGAGCTCTCGGCGTTAAACAATCCCAGAGGAATGCGCCATGCATTCGACTTCATTAAGCATCGTTTGGAGGTGATTGAATGAATACCTGGCCTTAGCAATATCTCGCGATGGTCTACCAATGTATAGGGGCAGTGCTGATATCCTTCCATACAAGCTTGGTACCAGTGATGGCTCTGAAGTGATGGAAGGTTTGGTGGCCCAGGTGCGCGGAAATCGATCCCGTGTATACTGCACGGCGCCTCCTATCACTGCGCTACACGAGCCCCTAGGCAGTAGATAAAAAAATTACAGTTCTGAAAGAAATAGTCGTTGGCTCGATCCCTCACTCTGGGCCAACTATGCGCGTCATTCCTACGGGGTCGACAGAGTGGTGCCAACATTATATCAGACAATAAGAACTGAACCGATACATCAAATGATCACCGTCAACCGCCGTAGAAAGGAAATGTGCTGCATTCCGTCAACTTCATGATGCTAAATGAAGTCGATTGCATGGCGCATCTCTCACAGATTGATCAACACTAAGAGCTTCTTTTAACTTCTTATTTACCGCCTACTCTTCCTAGTGGCTCACGGTTCCATTCGTCCACTGTTCCGCTGACAGGTGATTGCTGATGGCGCTGACCGATAGAACTAGCTGAGGTAGGTGAAACGAAGGGCCCGCATGGTGTGGTGGTGAACGCGTTACTCCACGGAAAGGAAAATAGCGCGTTCGTTCGCCACCGCAGACGCGGTCCGCAGTTTTACAAATATCTCAGCACCATTGAAACTAAGAGCTTTATCCTTTTTTTAACGACACCGCAGATCCCATTAATGTACAACCATCACATACTGTACTACTCAGAGAGTATAGTCGTATTCAGGACGATTTACCTCCATTCCAAATAGATCTTGCTATATCTCCCTATTAACACGGCTTAAAACTAGAAGTTTCGATGATTGCGGCGAGAAATGAGCCAGAATATCTAGCGCTTTTGGAAGATTGTCAATTCAAAAAATGAGCACCGTAAAAGTTTATTCATACAAATAAAATTCACATAAGAAACAATCTACATTAAAGGCAACGATCAATCCGGTATTTCGAGTATTAACGTATAAAATCGCATCCAAAGCCTATATTTTCGATTTATAACTGAAACAAACGAGCAGCACATAAGTGCTGTGCGCAAAAAGAATGATGAACTGCCACAAATGCCACAAAAGTATGATAGAAATGAATGAGCTACGTGATCATCCCCTATGGATATGTCCACGTACGAACATCATCGAGGACTTAAATCTATTGAGATAAGAAGAAAACAACGTTCAAATCCCACGTTCAACAGTCTGATGATTTTCGATAAGGAATGACACCGTAAGAAGGCGATAAATTACCAATACTAAACTTTCTCAAGTCGTCAAAAAATTTCGCATGCACAGATAACGACAAAGGTTAGTAATGCACCAAGGAATGGAGAAATATGTTGCTGAAAATTTACTTAGGCCAAAACAAAGAATCAACACAAGAAAACGTGTGACATCATAGATCTATAGAACAAATCCAATTCTGGCAGTGAACTAACTGCTGGGTCAGGTCATCCGAATACTTCAAGCACTGACTCAGCTGCATCGAAACTAGAACAACCAAACGTTCACAAATACTTCGTGGTCAAACAGTAGTGTATGGCAAAAAATCTTAGCAATACGGATACTGATTTAAAACCCAGCAGAGGTGCAATAATACCTGTTACCACGCAATTAAGAAGTGTTGCATAAGGATCGCTTAAGCAGTACCCTTATAATATTGAACATTTCTTCTTCTTCGGTTTCTGCGGTGGGCACAACACAGCGCGAATGGCTTCGTCAAAAACCTGCAAAGGTATATAACCAAATCTACGACAAACTGTACAGGAAAGCGGTCAAACCTACTTGCTTCAAACCCCGCTGGGTAAGAGCAGAACACTCAAGATATTTAACAGCTTTGATCTCCTTTGCCATAACCAGCCCTTGAGTTTGGCTGATAGGTGTTAATCTGCGCTCTCGAAGCCTATACAGAAGAAAATTCAAAAATTACCTAGAAAGGCTGATTTTGGGAAGCTCATGTCTCACGAAGGTGCAATAGGCGGAAGAAAGTAGTTAGAATATCCTAACCCATTTTTTATTTCGTGAGCGGAATTTACAGCACCGTTACTTACTTGGATACTTGGGTGGTCCGTCTTCATTGGTTCTGCAGACCCCAGCATAACTTCCTTTTTCTCGGAGTTTTACTCGTTTAGCCATCGTGGTTCCCTGGACTGCCAACAGCCTGGCCAGAGTTTGCCCCGCGTCGTTAACAACACAGGCAGTCGCTGCCCTTGTATATCAAAGGGAGATTTACCACCATACAACTTGGTACCAAGACGGTGGTGGAGCATTGGTTTACATTTTGTTAGGTTTCTTGAGGAAAACGCAAGACTCCTCAGTTTGGGAGACCCTGCTGGGAGACGAATTCTCCCACTGAACATCGCAGCCCGACACCCAGGAACACCTTCCAGCCACGATGAGGCGGTAAACCGTTGAGAGATATAGCATCATTAGGAAAAAAATGTGAAAATCAATAATAAAACTGTGTGAAATACAACCATAAGGATGTTGAGATGTGAGCAAAACTAAACCTTGGGTACGCTTTGAAACCGCGCTTACGTTTTTCGGGGCTCACGTGTTATCCACTGCACCAACGAGGGCATCGCTTGGCCTTTCTCCCAACCAGATTTTTTAAACCCTAACGGCACTATCAACATTACCTGTCAACGAGAATTATCTCCAGCTTAATTAGGTTCGATGTCGATTCGTGCACCACAGGTCAGATTACCGTAAGGGTAAAGAACAGGCTGAAAGAAAGGAAAAACAAGGTCCTCGTTGGTGCGGTGGATAACACGTGAGCCCTCGCAAAGCATTTTAGCACCATTGTGGCTTTGTTTCACACAGTACCCTACAGACAGTAGGTGGTAAATAAAAATTAGAATAACAGGAGATTTTTCAAAAAATTTGGAATAGTAGCACAAATTTATCGCAGAATATGTGACAACAACAAGGCTAGAAAGTCTTTTAACCTTCAGTAAAATAATTAGCGAATAAACTGTCTAAATAATCAGTTTCAAGCAGTTCTACTTAACTCGGACTCTCAAGGATTTCAGCTCAACTCAAAAGAGATGTGAAAATTTGCGAAAGTTATGAATATCGCACCTTTCAATAGTTTCTCCATCATCTCGTAGGTCAGCCTTCGTTCCAACAAGAATGATGGGTGTGGTAGGACAATGATGTGAAACCTCAGGGTACCTGAAATGTGGATAGAAAAAACTACACTATATACTAACATAGAAATAAATTCAAAACATCTTCGTTAAAGTAAAAAAAACTTCCACTTATTGATGCTTATCAAACGAATTCTCACCATTTTGCACGGACGTTTTCGAAACTCGCTGGATTCACGAGTGAGAAACAGACAAGAAAAACGTCTGTCTGCGGATAGGACAAAGGGCGAAGTCTGGAAAACTTAATTACTTTGCATAAATAGAAGAATTGTCCAGAAAATCCGAGAAATAACTAAATTTAATTAAGTAGACCGATGACTAATAACGAAGCTCTCTGAACTCCTTAGATATAGCAAAAGAGCAATTTTCCACAGCACATTATTGAGATAGTACTCGGAACTAAACTATATCATATGATTTCAATCCAAAGAATTCTCCTCACCGATCATAGTCTTCTTGTCCTGCAGTATCCCATAAACCTAAATTAATAGGACGACCGTCTACCATCACATTAGCCGAGTAGTTATCGAAGACCTAGAGATAGTAATAAACTAGGCACTGAGAATAAACTGAGGCAGAATAAGAAGTTCGACGATTTCTCAAAAACTTTCGCAACGACAAAACACAACCTTACCGTTGGTATGTACTCCCCCGGAAAAGCATTAGTGGTGTACGAAATCAGTAGACATGTCTTACCAACAGCTCCATCACCAACAACAACACATTTTATAGCCTGCATATCTCCAGAACGGATCCCAATAAGTTTCTGGAATGCTGTAAATACTTAATGAGATGCATAACGGAAAAGATAAGCAATCCGATGGTAACGAGGAGGGAAGCAACTAAACCCATGTATTAAGTTTTATATTAAAAAAAGAACAAAAATCTCACAACGAGCGACGAAAATAAAAGAAGTATACAGCTCCAAAACTGGCACTGCAGATCTTTACAAACAAGAAGAAAACACTGTGAATCACTAAGGAATTCGTTTAAGGAACAACCGACGGCAGAAACAGCAGGGGAAGAGGGAAGATGAAAGGTATATGACAAAAAAGTTAATCAAACCAATAAAATCGCTGGCCTATCACATCTATGATATCAAAGTAAAAATCGTTTCATTTTAACGACTGAAATGAATTGAACAAACTTTTATGAAAGGAGCGGGAGAGCCATGATATTAAGTCGTGCAAGATTCACAGCCACCCATCCAAAAGAAGAAACATAATGAGTCGAAGTAAAAATGAACTGGAATGAATGAATGAAAATGAACCATGGACGATGACTGCGAGGGAAAGAAACCGATGGCAAATGTGTTGGGGTCCGCACAACTCGTGAAAACAGACCGCCTAAGCATCCAAGTACGTACAAATGAACTAAACTTATAGAATTATGAAGAACTGACGGCGATATATGAAGAATTAGGTTGGGAGACCGCCTGTTTTTCGACATTTCTGCATAGTAGCCCGAAAAATAAACTGCTTTCGTGAAATATCCCGAACATATCGCAAATACTCTTGTACAGAGATCTTCTTCTCTTTCAGAGCTTGACCTAAAGTGAACAACACATTGAACAATGAAGTGGAACAACTACAGAACTCGATTGACATTTACGAATGACACTAAATACGATAAATATCTACTGTCAAATGGACTACACAAGTAAATTCAGCTAAAGTTACGAGGTCCATTTATTTGTCACCAAACACAAAAATCTTAAAATCTAGGGGTAGTTCCAAAACTTGGGCATATTCTTCATGATGCTTTAATATAAAACCAATTTCTCCCATTACTTTGACTTCCAAATTCAAAAAAGACATGTCTGAAAGTCTTCAGAATCTTGTTTGTTAAGAACTTTCCTATAGACGACAACGAAACTGGCCACGGCTTAGAAATAAACTGGTTTGAATATGTCAAATTATGCTAAGATTATAAATAGCTGATATATCACTCCAATGGTTTAACTTTCTCGAAGGTGGACTGAGCTTTCGGACGTCGAAGTGCGACGTACAGTAGAGAGTTTTCAGCTGCATGTTTGTGTCATGGCATAGCTTGTTGGACCATCTGTGGATCGGTTCTTGTCAAAAACAATAAGAAAGGGTGTAATGTCATAAATTCGATGGGAATGATTGGAATCTATCTGGTGCATTTGCTAGTTTTCTATTAAAGTATGGAAATGGGCAATATAGTACACGAAACCGATATAGATTTGAACAGAAATGAGCTTCAACATTTCCATCTATGCAACTTACTACAACAACCCTCTTGAAAAGATAAATCTCTCACTCTATACCCCGCTCGACCCAAACGGACGCCCAACCGCGAAGTTGCAGAGACAATTAGGTGGAGAATAATACCTTGGACAACTTATGATTACTAAAAAAAACAAGTTAAGTCGTCACGAAACCCCCCCCCCCCCCAGAATTCCGCACCCCACTCATACTACTTCTTCTGTCTCATGTTACCACTATTACTACATAATTACGACGTAGAAATGATGTCAAATGAACCACGGAGAACAGAATCTTGGCTGGCAATCATCATATATCACCACCTAAGCTTTCAAATTATGCAAAGCAGAAACAAGTGTGCTTCCAAAGGTTTACCGCCTCATCGTGATTGGGAGGTGTTCCTAGGTGTCGGGCTGCGATGTATGGCGGTGAATTCATCCACCAGCACGGTCTGACAAGCTTACGAGTATGGCGTTTCCATCAGGGAGCCCAGCTAAGAGTAAACCAATACCAGGATCCATCACTGTCCTAGTATCAAGCTAGTCGCATGGTGGCACTTCCTGACCCACAAGGGCCTGGGGTGGTGACGACCTGGGGCAGACTTTGGCTATGCTGACCTCGGGATTCCAGAAAGCCACAATGGATATATCAGCTAAACTCCGAAACATTGGAAATTATTCTAGGGCACGCAGAACCTGTGAAGACGGGCCATCTAAGTACCCAAGTAAGCAAGTAAGGTAGAAGTATACCTTAGTCCACAATATAAAGTATACTATGCAGTAAAATAAAACAATAACGATAATAACAATAAATAATAAAATTCAGCAAAAAAGGAGGAAAAACTTTGAACGTACCAAGCGCATATATAACGTCGTCGCATGCTAAATCTTGAACGTAGTTATTAAGAATTTGACGATGTAGTGGTGTAGCTGCGTCTATAGCATTGTCGATATCTACAGATTTACTATCATTCTTACTATCACTGCATTCTTCCAATGTGCGCATCAGCTCAGCTTTCTTATCCTGGAAAAAGCTCTGTCACAGGTACCACACATATTTCAGGAAAATAGGCCTTTCTCGAACTTTATATAACACGCACAGAAGTAGTTTCTACTCCAAAAATTCATATCAATCAATCGCACAATCTTTATGCTATTGCTTCAATAATACTACTACAACTCACAAAGCTCATAAAAGGACAAAGCTCTCGGCGTTGATCAATCTCTGAGGGATGGGCTATGCATTCGACTTCACTAAGCATCGTTAGAGACGAGTGAATGGATATTTGGCCTTTACAATGACTCGCGGTGGCCTATCGATAAATCGAGCCAGTGCTGCTATCCTCCCAGACAAGTCTGGAAACAAGCTGCAGACCTTGGATAGAAGGCTTGGTGAGCCTTAGGTTCGGGGATCGATTCCATGTGTATTGAAGGGCGCCACCAACCACTGGGAAACACGCGCACATAGCGCATAATCGTTAACGATTTAATAGTAATAGTAACAATTTAATTTACCTGGTGTGCAAAAATGTACGACTCGAAAAACTTCTGTTGTTTCTCTAGCTCTTCAATCATCCTACGGATACTTCTCTGTCCAGCCAGCAGTTCCGAATGAGTTTCACGAATTGATGCCATTTCAGCGTGGGACGTACCTGAAAAGTAGTTAAGACATTCAAATCACACTAATCAATTTCATAGTTCAACACATCCACACTGCTTCGGAAAATCCATATCTTGGAAGCTGTTAAAAAGTTACGCTTTGAAATGACGGAATATTAAGGTCAAACTACAGAAAGCAAGGACTACCAACCCATTCGACATTACAAAAGGATTATGATAAACGACGGATTAAAAATCAGAAATATGGGCAAATTATTAATAGAAAACAAACCCATTTTCTCTCGCAACCGTATCTTCAGTTTGTCTTCCAGTGCGGTCATGATTGACCTCCGAATGTGTTCTGGTTCCAAACCCGTAGAATGACCAGCCGTAGACATAGGAGGAGCTGGAATCGGAGGTGGTGTCCGAATTGGAACGTTCGATTGCGGGTAAGGTGTATTCATAGATGCACTGAAAAATCAACACCACAATCCCAAAAAAACAATTTCTGGAAAGTAATGAGTAGATCGAAGTTCAAACGTTTACTGAATAAAAGAAAACCCTTAAAAGAGTAATGCATGCTCTTCCTATAAGCCGTAGAGACCTATGAAAGATATTTTCAAAGAAGAAAGAAATATAACGCTGAAGGTTAATGAATCATGTGTCTATTATTTATAAACTAAACCATCTTTTTAGAAAGATGATGAAACGATGAATGAAGAATGATGAATGAACGAAGAAAGATGAAAGATGATGATAGCGTCGCATTTATTCGGCTACTTGCATGGCCACTCTTCAATGGTTGTGCGGACGCCAGCACAATTCCCACATTCTCGGTGCTTTGCTGGTCTGGCCATTGTGGTGCCCTGGAGACCCGATGTCAGCACAGGCAATCGCTGCCCTTGTGGATCAGAAGGAGATTTGCCACCATGCGACTAGCTTGATACCAGTACTGTGGTGGATCCTAACATTGGTTTACTCCTGCCTGGGCTTCCTGATGGAACGACGGACTCCTTCTCGGCTTAGGAAACCCTGCTGAGAGATGAATCCCTCCGCTGTACATCCCAGCCCGACACCTAGGAACACCTCCCAGCCAACATAAGGCGGTAAACCACTGGGAAGGTGTCACATGTAGAATGTCAAAAATATACAGAGGTATACAACTACAGTGTTTCTGAGATATTTGCAAAACTCGGGACTGCAGGTGTCTGCGGTGGAGAACGAACGCGCTACTACTCTTTCCCAGGAGCAACGCGTTCACCACCGTACCACGCCGGTCCTTTGTTTCGCCTGTCCCTTAGCTAGTTTTCTATCGATCGGTGCTATCAGCAATCATCCGGCAACGGTATTGATCTAAGCACCCCAAATGGGCACTGAACCCAGTTAAACTAGCTGAGAGACAGGCGAAACGAAGGACCCGTATGGTGTGGTGGTGAACGCGTTAGCCTCCGGAAAGCGTAAGACCGCGTTCGTTCTCATCGCAGACACCTGCAGTCCGGAGTTTTGCAAGTAACTCACCAATCTTGTGGTTTTATTTCGCATAATACTCTGTCGTGAAAAATTGTAGCAGGCAGCAAATAAAAAGTAAACATACAGAGGAATTTTAGCTACTTTGGAATTTGAGAAAATCGGTTTGAGGAAATATATGTGATTCTAGTTCATTATGGTTACAGTTACAAACACATCTGGCAATATGTGGTTTGAAAAACAGTAAACATTTTTGAACGAATGATAAATACAACCTTCCGAAATGGGTGTTAGCAGAAGGATAAGGAGTTTGGCTAGAAAACGGCATCGCGCTGGTCGGATATGGAGTTGGCATTGATGGATTCGTGGGTGGATACGGTGTCGGATAAGTTGGTGTTGGTTGCGATATTGTCGACGATGCTGCTAACCTACTATTAGATGAGGAAGTCTTAGCAAAAACGGGGCATTTTTCTTGAAACACCATAGCCATCACCTGAAAAAAACGAATACCATAGAAAGAACTACACTCTAAGGTAACTGAAATAGAAACCAATCAACCTGCAACAAGCCATTCAAATCGTAGCCTGGGAATCTCCACTCATTAAGGTACGGCAAAAATATGCGTCCTTGCTTCGTTACGTGTTCTGATTCACGTATAACCATAGAAGACGTTGGATTAACATAGCATATCGGAGCATAGTAGGGATGCGTATCCCACAGATAAACAGATATCGGGATATTATATCTAGCACCCTAAAAAGTTATACCAACTGGTAACATAACAGCTGCAGTATTCGCAAATAACGGGGATAAATCAAAAGATCGACTTTTTGTAAGCCTCAGCATAAATAATCGACATGTTCATTTCTATGTTCTTATGAACTGATTATGTTGAGCTGATACGACGTTTGTATAAGTTGCCGTTAGTGTTGTCGTTATTGTTGTTGCTGTTGTTGTCGTTGTTGCTGCTGTAGTTGACAGCCCCACCCGTCACAGCTCGGCCCTCAGGAAGGCGAAATCGCCGAGACCTCAAGCATCGACGAACAACAACAACTTATACCAACCTCGCATCAGCTCAACAAAATCAGCTCATAATGGGGATGTTAATAACGAGAACACTACTCATAACATCACGCACCAACCTTGTAAAATACTGGAATTGTTCCACGAAGGCGGAAAGCTGTTTTCGTTGTGCCATCCGGAAATGTGAAACTCTCGATATCGGGTATTAAATCCTTAAATTCCGCTAAGGCACCGAGAATATCGGATTTTGCCGAATCAACATATTTAGCACTCGATTTCTCCAAACACTGCTGTACCTTAACAATTTACAAATGATGTAACTAATAAGTGACAAAAATACGGACTCTACCAAAGCTTCTTTGTTTTGAGCTTATTCTAAAACAACAAAGTAGTAAGGCAACTTAACAAGGAACGATAAAAGGGTGGATGGGAAGAACTAACCTTCTTGTTTCTCGAGCCCATCCCAGATGATCTTCCAGCAAATTGGGGTTTGAGACCTCAGGTCCGACTAAGAAATATACTGAAATCAAACATTTTTGACTAACGCCGTTTGAAAATCGAAGCGGAAAAAAGAAGCTGTAAAGGGCCGTTATCAGCAAATGCTATCAAAACATCGACATCAACGCAAGATAGATTCACCAGAAGGTTCTGTCGGGAAGACTGGTACCAGTGAGATCGTCGAAGTCAAACAGATTACAGAAACATTAAAATAAGGCGGTCCTAACTCTAGGTTATTCTAGAACATGTATTACATTCGAAAGGAACATAATTTGGACCAGTTAAAGTCAGGAGTTTAAAGAATTCAGACCAAGGGATGTATAAGTAATTCCTGAGACTGAGTTTCTCCTAACCTCGGCCCTGATAAATAGTTCTTGATAATCAAACATAAAGTTGTTACTATGTATTACTTATTCACAATAGTTTACGTCTCGGCGGACTTCACTTTTTCCAGGCTTTAGAAAACTGGGGTTAACCACAACCCAGTCCGCCAAATACCTCTGTAACCTTAAGAGAAGAACAAGGATACCTAGTTCTCCATCACATTGGAATCATAACAGTTACTTAACACAATCACCCTTCTATATCAATCTTCTAGGAAGTTTTCAACGTAGAAACCAACCTTGAAGAGCTCACATGGAAGAATAATCAGCCCGTTTTACGTCACCTCCCTGCGGTTCATTTCTGGATCCTTGGAACTTATCCAGAATCTCAATGATGCTGAGATATTTGCAAAACTCCGGACCGCAGGTGTATGCGGTGGGGAACGAACGCGCTACTCCCCGGAAAGGACAATAGCGCGTTCGTTCCCCACCGCATACACCTGCGGTCCGGAGTTTTGCAAATATCTCAGCATCATTGAAGTTATATCTCACAATGTATACCGTGCCGTTAAAAAGAGTAGGCAGTGAATAATAAGTTAAAGTTATCCAGAGTCCTTCGAGGGTTCCACGCGATGAAGTTTTAGATTCCTGTTCCAGGATGGTCACTTCTTCTCCAAAATCTTCCCCATTATGTATTTGTATCCTATGACCGTCTAGTGGAGCATTATGTTTAATGTATAAGTGACTAAGGTCCGAAGGATAGCAAACATGAAGACGAGCCTTCCTTTTTGCACTGAATCCAATACGGAGGACCATGTGCAGCAGTAAGAATTCAGGATGCTGAGAACAAAATGAACTGCTTCTTTCAGTAATTTCATAGATGAGAAACTCTGTGAAATGGCCATACAAACAAACAGCACAGTGATTTTTTCATTGATTCCAGAGGACGATGAAAAGCAGTCAAACATTGAAATATCCAGCTTAATAGGGACCACTTTAGTACTAATCAGCAGTTAGGATCGATAAATGCTTCTGGTGAAAGAGTGTGGAGGAATTGATTCGAATATTAACGAATACGAGCTCATCTCTATGAGTCATCGTTCGCGAATTCCATGCTGTTCAGGATCACCTCCTAAATCTCATCAGTCCTGGATAAGGCCTACGATGAATAGTTGAACTAACCAAAAATCAATAAAAATCATGATTTATGAGAGAAAAAGGATAATACAAAAGTGCTCGGAAGTCGGCCAGACAAACGAACGGTGCGACCCCCGTCATTACGGCCTTTTATCGATCCGTCCAGAGCCTACGACTAAACTGCGTGCATGTGTGGTCCGCCGGGTTCAGCATCATCGAGCCCGAATACGAAGCAGATATTTTAATATCTTAAAGCAAATGGTATCCAACTGAAGTGGTTTTCGATCCATATAGGTATTCTATGATCGTTTAATCCCGAACATGATGGTCCCACCCTATCGGGACCCACTCTTTCGTGTGTGATCTACGTTGTCATGACGTCATTTCCGCTCATTCTTTATCTGTAGATGAATTTTTGATGAGTTAATGGCGTTTTATTGGTCGATGAACCAATCCCAGTTTGGAAAGCTATGCAAACATTGTCGTGACGAGCCCAGGACACACCTGTTCAATTAAGTCAGGAGAACTTAACTCACTGAGTAGACCTTAGCTTCACCTTATGTGGACATTCCCATTTTCTTCTAGATGTTAAGTAACTGCATCATATTTCCTCCTTCGTCCTTCCTGTTGTCCTACTATCGATCGGTCCTGAGAGAACGTGGTGCTCTTTGGGAAACCCGTTATACCTCTATGTCTTGTGAAATGTCTTGTGAACTTTTATGAGTACATTATGCAGTACAATATTGGTATACTGTAGTTTTTAGTTTGATCTCTATGAATGAGTGTCATTTTATGTTGTCGGATGTGACTGAACTCATTCGATTTCATACACAGTGACAACGATAGTGTGCGGGTGCCAAGATCTGAGGAGGCCAGAGTGGGCAGGACTTTCTAGAACGCTTCTAACGATGTTTCCATTTTTAGCTCCTATCCAGACCTCACGAAAGCGGTTAGTTTTTTGCCTAAACGTTTACGTTACATATGATTTAATCTTTCTTAATATTATCGTAAGATATAGTACGCACCGTGGTGCGTGTAGCGCAGTGGTCGGAGGCGCCCTGCAACACTCACGTGGAATCGCTCCTCGCTCCCATGGCTTACCAAGTCTTCCATCCCTCCGGAACCGGCAAATTGCTACCAAACTTGTCTGGGCGGGTAGCAGCACTGGCTCGATACATCGGTAGGCGACCGTGAATCATTGTAAAGGCCAGATACGCATCCAATCACCTCCAACGATGCTACGAATGGAGTCGAATGCATGGCGCATCCCTCAGGGATTGATTAACGCCCAGAGCTTTATCCACTGATCCTTTTTGTGCCACATACCGCTAAGATGGATACCGACAAGTAACTCGCAGTTATTAATGTTTATATCCTGTAACGACTTGTTTTTGAGCAAAAACTGTATATGAGAGCCCGAAAGACATTGGTGCTTCAGGTAGATCTTTTTTTCGTTAAATTCTATCCAGGCTACCGATCATTTTATTTCTTTTTTCTTTGAGATTTGAATCATTTCGCAAAGTTCATGAGTAGGTCCCACTTGACCTTATCATGAAGAAGAAGGGCTTTAAACAATTCTTTAATTCATTTCTTTGGCAAGCAACTGCAGTTAGCTTAGAGATACATCGATACGTGCTGTTATAGTACAACGTTTGAGTCCGATTTATGGAGTATCCTTACTGCTTAACAGTCCTGAATTTAATATTTAAGGTCATCATGACAAAATTTAATTACGCTCGTGACGAAAAAATAACTGTAAGTATAATATAAACGGACACGTATAGCGCATTGGTTAGACGTGACCTGCAATACACACGTGGTCTTTAGTTCCATTCCGCGTTCTGCGCTGAGCAAACTCTTTGTCTTTCCGGTTGGTTGACACCCGACTTACCCGAGAGGATAACAACACTGACTTGGTACGTTGGTAGGCTACAGTTAATCGTTGTTTGGGCCAGATATGTATTCAGTCACCTCGAATGATACTCCGTAACGTCGAATTCACGGCACATCCTTCATGGATTGATCAAAGCGTTATCCTTTTTCAGTACTTTTATGACATTGATGGGAACTTTCTATTCTCTGTTCCTTCAAAGAATCTATTCTTTGTTCCACTATTTTATCACAAGTGGTTTTAAAGTTCTTATTAGTTTACTTGCTCATCACGACAAAGGGCTTTTCCTGGGAGTGGAGCTGAAATCTACAAATGTTGAATTGTCTTCCAAAAAGGTCAGCCATGCTGATAAATAGTTCAGAATTACCTTTCGGAACCTTATTTAGAAGCAGGCTAATACCAGGAGTCACCGTCGTTCTGGAATAAAAGCAGCCATGAGGTAGAATCTCTCGTTCTGGCAGTATGATGCGGTCACTGCCATGGGTGGTAGCCATCTTATCCAAGTTATCTTATGGAAAGAAAACCACTGAAAATGAAATTTTTACTGAGGTCCCTACTATTTGTGGAGATGGTCTACTTGATTTTCAAGTATAATGGTTGTCGTTGGGTACAGAACCAAAACTTGGTAATCGCCGAACGTTATCTGAACTGTAGGGCGCGTGTATCGCAGTGGTCGGAGGCGCCCTGCAATACATGTGGGATCATCTCGCGCCCCTAGTCCACCAAGTCTTCCATTTCTCCGGGTCGGCAAATTGGAAGTAGACTTGTCTGGAAGGATAGCAGCACTGACTCGATACATCGGTAGACCACCGCGAGTCATTGCAAAGTCCAGAGATGCATTCCATCACCTCTAACGATACTTAACGAAGCGGAATGCATGACACATCCCTCGGGGATTGATCAACGCCGAGAGCTCTATCCTCTTTATTTTTATCCTTTATATATTGTGTTGTGGACACAGGAATGAGATTTTTTAGTTTGTAGTAGTCGTAGATCCAAGCGCCAACTATAGCAGTGATTTGAAAATCAAGTTTATTGCCACAGAGTCCTGTAATGGGCAACTGCGACAGCACCTTTCATTAAGCTAAATGGGTTTAGCTATACCAACGTACCGTCTGTTTTTATTTAGGGGGACTTTGGAGCTCCATTCTGAATGGTTAGTAAACGTCCAGTTCTATACTGATATCCCTGACTTAAGCAGTGAAAGAATTGGAGCACCCACACATCGTCCATTATCAGGTACAATTTTAACTTTATTTAGTTATCGATATTTGAAGCGCTCCACTTCCAGCAAATAAGCTGAATGTTCCTTCACGACCTGTCAGTCGGAGCAAGTCCCGATCACCACATGGTCTCGCGCAGGTTCATCCTATTTTCCAACCTTAATAATGTACAACTATTACTGTTATGCGGGATCATTACATCTTTATCTGCATTGTTCTCATGTTTAGCCTACGTCGGCCCGTTCTAAATCCTCACCAGTTCGCCTTGCACCGTCGGAAGCACCTCCACCATCGCGTCATCGGAATAAAGGACTTGAAACCTCGACCGCGATGAGGGTAAAGCAACTTTTGAACTACTCTTCGTCTATTTATATATATATATATATATTATAACGAAAACTGATCTATTAAAGGAGCTATTTGGAGGTGGAGGTTCATCATTTGGAGCTACATCGGTGTTCGACCATATCCCACAAGCACAGGCGACGCGCAGCTTCCACAGAAAGAATTTGCTTGAAAAAGATCTTCAGCATCTTACCGACTGGGAAGTGGTAAAATGTCCGGCGGCCAAAGCTCCTTTCTTTTCTGAGATTGAGGATCACAACAGGGTGATTTATACTGGGAGATTACGACATTTTAACCTAGTAGAAGTTATTCAGAAGTAATTCTGACGGAAAGTCGTCCATAAATTTTTGTTTAATAGGCGTACGAACGAGCACGAAAGCGTGGAAATTGGCGCTCTACCGCTAGTCAATTTGACCAAATCGCTCAACCTGGTCCGGAATTGTTCGAGGATACTAACCAGCCTACGATAGGTACAAGTAGTTCACTATGCATGTGTTTCTTTATGGTTTTTTGACTATTTGTCCCTGCAGAACAACAAGAGGACATATTCACATCAGAAACTTCCAATGAATTCCAACAGACAGACAATATGGAAAACGACTGGAATGGATCCAAGGATGGTATCATCGTTATGCCAACGATTTCCGAGCAAGAGAAGCAGAGAATGATGGATAGCGAGCCAGGTCCTGATATCGGGGATGATGAGGTTCGTTGACCTTTGGCCTCTCAATGTAGGTTTACGGTCAAGCTCGGGACTGTATTGACATTTTGCCAATGTTCTGCGCAAGGTTTCCACGTCCATTTACGATACCCGTGTAACCTGATAGATAAAAGTTACGGTCCACATTTCTGTAAGGTGTGCAGTAGCTTACCAGTTGTTGTTGGAGATTTTGTAGTTCTTGGGCTATTTTTTTAAACATCAGACCCACGAAAACGTCTGGAAAGTTCTCGGGATAGTTCGTAATAGCACCACGTTCTCCTTATGTCCATATGTTCGATAATTTCAACGCGTACACGTCACTACGTTGAGGAATTCTTGAGTGGCGGCGGCACCACGACGGACTCCGACTCAGCGCCGATGACCGAGCAACCCGCTAACGAGCGCGACAGCAAGGCAGAGTCAGACGACCGGTGTGCAGCCGATGTGAGGGACGCAGACGAGTCGTGCTCGGACGAGGCGAGTGTCAGTGTCGGCGGAGGTGGCGGCATGTCGTTGTTCATACGTGGAGCGCAAGTCGTCAACGACGATTCCGTCTTCTTCGCTGACGTCATCGTCCAGGACGGAGTGATCAGGTGATTTTTGCTCTAAAAGTTACATTTTTTATTAGTAAGCTTTGTCCAAGGTCTCGTGCACCGATCTGTCGACTACTAAGCCAGTTTTAGGGAATCGTAACGCTTAAGAATCCAGTTTTTCGAGCTAAACTTTCGTGACATATGCGCTTGTTAAACTGGTTCCTCTCAGTCATGTTAAAGGAGTGAGAACTGTCAAGTATTCAAAAGTATGTGAAAGTAATAAGTTAGTCGTACCTGAGCAAATGACCCACAGGTAGTACGTCCTGTTTCCAACGCTCCATATTTTCATGACTGGTATGGAGTGTGAGCAAAAGAGTCCGTCCCATAGATAACAAATAAGTACTGTTTTCCTCATTTTTGCTGCTGTAAGCGTGTGTGAAATTCATATAGAGGACGGTCCACATTGTTCACGTGCCCGTTCCTCCACCTCAAGAACAGGGCATAACCCAGTCCTGTTTTCTACAAGCTCGTTCATCCCCACATGCCCATTCCTGCTTTGCGATCAATGACGTGACGCCAGGTCTACGTTATTAGGGACACAATCCTGGATCGAGCTTTGTTGGCAGACTGCTAAGCCGTAGTGCAGCTGTCTATGTAAAAACAGAGCTATGAATTATTATATAGGATAAGCGCTATCTAGAAGGAGCATTTGGTAAAATGGAAATGAAGATCAATAGGAATAGTGATAAGCGCTGACATAAGCCTCTTCAATTCTGCATTACTTGAGGCAGAACACACTTATTACCTTAGGTGGTTCCTAATGTCGTCTTCACCAATTGGAGGAAGCAGTTATTTGTCTGAAGGTCTCATTGTATGTGATTGTTTATGCAACATTAGATTGAAAAGAGCAATCTTTAGATGAGGTGGCTACCTTTTTAACCATTAATATCACTTCTTTCTAATAGTTTTTTGGCTACAAGGCAAATAAGTTCGTCTACAGAAATGTCGGACCGTCACTGGAAATTCCTGCTGATGCAGAAATTGTGGAAGCTGCTGGTAAGATGCTGTTTCCTGCTGGAATTGATGCTTACACGTATTTCACTGCACTCGATTCGGCCGATAATCTTGCAACCAGCTGCAAAGCAGCAGTAGCAGGAGGCACAGCCACGGTGAATTCGTGATTTGTCGAGCTAAACAACCTAGGAGTTTTAGTTTTGCTCCGGAGTTTAGCAAGTAGTAGTTTGCGCATGATGTTACAGGTTATCGACGTCGTTTCTCCCAAAGCTGGAGAATCTCTAACTTCTTCTCTCTCTAGAGTTAAGGATGGTCTTTCGTCATCACTGTGTAACGTAGGGCTTTCGGTGAGTGCCTTAGTGAAACTTGGTTAACAAATAATTTCGCCATACCATCATTTCTAACATACATATCGAGTTTTCGTTTCAATTCTTGAATTGGTTTTATTGGCTTTTTGTACTTATTGAAACTAGTTGTCCACATTGTTTTCGGCAATTTGAGCGTTGTGGCGGCGAGTGTCTCAAACGATGATGTTTTACTTTAGGTTGTTATACAACACTGGTCAGACAGTGTTCGTAAGGAAATGGAGAAGGTGGTTGCCGAAGGAGTCAATAGTTTCATTATTGACGTTGAAGGAGATGATGCTGTTTACCAAGTAAGTCATATTTACTATTCCACTCCATATTTGTACAGTTGAGATCTCGATGGAGAAGAATGTTAAGTTGTATGTTGAAGAATTTGTCTGTAGATGACTTTATAACCAAGGTTGCTATCTTGAGTGAAGTAGGCAGCAGTTCTTGTTTGGGAATTGGTTTTTGGGACAATCGTTGTCTTTTTTTGTAGTAGATTGAGATCCTACTTCACATAATTCGCTCCAGATCCCAGCGTTTCTCTTTTGAGCTTCCCTTTCTTTTTCGTTCGCATATTTTTTGTATGGAAGGATGTACTACAGTGTTCCAAGTGTAAATGAGAGCAAAGTCTTTTCTGAACTTGGTTAACCACTTTTTACTCACATTGTTTAAGGTGGCAAAAGTTTTTATTGTCAAAAAAGAAATCTTAGTTCGACCTGGTCCTAGGCCCAAGTTTTGCGAATATCTCAGTATCGTCGTCGTTGTCATACTCTCATCATTATACTCTGCCGTTAAAATTTGTGGTAGGTGGATAATAGAAGGTTGACATTGTCATGAAAGTGTTTCGAATTTCTGGTTCCATGTCCAAACTGTTTTAAAAAAGATTTCTTGTGGCTGTGTATTTCCCTTTTTTTTCTTCCTAGGTACAATTCGGCTTTCTGTTACAAATCCGTTTCCGATTACATGGAAGCTTCACTGGACCGTTTCCTATCATTCTTTATTTTATAACTTATTAAAAATTTCTTGTTATTTCTTTTATCACTGTTCTTGCATGTTCTTTCAGATATTAGAGCACTGCAGAACGCTCGGCGTTCTTGCGCGGGTTCTGCCGGAGAATCGCACCATTGTGCCTTATCTGGAGAAGAAAATACTCGAACTAGGAATCACTGGCCCTGAGGGATTCCTACAGTCTCGCCCTGAAGAGGTAAGAATTTTATTTGCAAAGCGCAGTACGCTTGAACACTTTTGTCCCAAGAGACTCGTTGTGTTATCGGTTCGGATGGTTTCTCGTATAAAATCGTAGGAAGGCATTCATGAACCAGATTTGGCAGTTAACACCGTGGTGCGTAAATAAGAACATTATTGATGTGTGCTAGTCTCCAGACATCTTGTATCCATCCATCAGGTTTCATATTGCTATTAGTTCTAACTTAGTGGTTACATGTAGTTAGATCAGAGATATAGTTAAAGAAAAAGAGTGTTTTTGAAAACCTATGGCGGTATTTTAATCTAAGGTAGTCGTCACTGCAACAGTTATTCTCTGAACTGCTTAATGTTTTATGTGGTGCCCAAGCTGTGATCATTGGTGGAAAAATTTATTCTTTTAAAACGAAAGCTTTTGTCGTGCCTGGCGATATTCTCAAGAAGGTCGTTCTAAACTTGTTTCGGTCTTCTTTGTAAGGTGAAGACATGAAGTACTAGTGTTTGATTTTACTCTGATACCCTCTTCGTGACTGGGAGGTGTTCCTTAGTGTCGGGTTGCTTTGTCCATCTGGGGATTCATACCTCCAGCAGGACCTCCGAAACTAAAAGGGAGTCCAGCGTTTCCATCAGGAGGCCCAGCTAAGAGTAAACCAGTACCAAAACCCAGCACCGTCCTGGTGTCGAACTAGTTGCATGATGGCAAATTTCCGTTTGATCCACAAGGGCGGTGACTCTCTGTGATGGTGACGAGCTGGTGCTGACTTCGGCTAGATTAACCTCTGTACTCCAGGGAACCACAATAGCTAAACCAGTAAAGGTCCGAAAAAGTGAAAATTATGCTGTGGTTCGCACAACCATTGAAGGCGGATCATCCAAATATTCAAGTGTCCTGGGCGTAACAGTTTCGTCAACATTGTTTTACTTATTATTTTGTTTTATTCAACAGTTTTACAAATTTTATTTATATGAAGTAACTTATACACATTTGAAAGGTTGAATCAGTAAACTAAATTTGGGGCAACGTACTAGAGAAATCATGTTAAATCGATCAGAACTGTAAAGATAACTTTAATGGAAGTGCTACTTTACGGCAATTTAAACGAATAGCATGATGAATTGATGATGCCACAGCGCATTCTTTGCGGATTCCACCATTGGGCTGATTAAGCCGTCAGATTTGCTTTCGGTTTAGGTTTAATGGAGCGACCGCTAGCATATTCATTTCTGATGAAGTTTTTTTTCTTGTTTATCTGTTTCTGGCCAGGGTTTTCCAGTGCTATGCACGAATTGTCTAGAAATTATCACTGCATGTTCGTATCAACACATTTCCAATAACGGCTAAATTGTTGTGGTGCGCGCGTGGGATGTGTAACGAAATGGTTAGCGGCGAAGTGGTAGCTGTGAAGTTGAACTGCGAAACTTACTGTTGCTTGATCCTTTCAGGTGACCAATCCACCATGTTCTTTCAAGCGACTAATTCACCGCTAACCATTTCGTTACATGGTGCATTGGCCGGGAATCGAACCCGGGTCGCCCGCGCGGCAGGCCAGCATTTTACCACTGAACATAATTGACCGAGTAGGTTATAAAAGTTACATTGCGGTGTTTGATATGCGACTGCGAGGTGGCCATATATGGACATCAAATACTACTGTTTAGGTAGATGGAGAACTTTTCAAGAGAGAAGTTGTTTATACACCCGCCCGACTAATTTAGGAGCCATGACGAAATTTTGTTAGCTATTTGAACACAAGGTTTTTGCATTATGCAAAGGTTTAAGAAGAATCTGAAAACATGTAACGCTAAAACGTGAATAAAAAAGGCATCGTATAATGAGTGATCTACTATATCTCCCTTAGTAATTGGTCGGTTTATCGACATTTCCGGCTTTAGCTTAGTGATTTAGCGATCGTGTTCGTGTTCACAGTCTAGCGGTGCTTCTTGTATGGATTGACGTTTCCATGGTCGTAAATTATATGGAAAAGTCGTCTTGGTGGAGTTTTCCTCATTATTATGGCTCTTTAGTTTGGATTTCTCACTCCCTTCGTTTTGAGGTATGGGATCATTGAATTCCAATGGTACTAGTAGATTGATGGGGCTACGAATTGTGCGATGCGATGGGAAAACAGCCACTGCTTCGCGTACGACTCCTGAGTTTGCTGGAAGTTCTTCAATTCCTACTTTCCACATGAATATAGGTTGCATAGGATTGTTGATCAGTGCCACAGTACCTTTCCGTGGGGAGTGTTTTGTATAATGCGTTTTGTTTGTTTCGATTTGATGTCTTTCTCGTAGCGATGTTTGTTTCGATTTGGTGTCTTTTTCGTAGCAAGACCTGAGCGATGTTAGTGCCAGAACTTACCTGCAAATTTACAGGGTGACTGTAATGCTTGGATTGCGTGCTGCTTGGTTTTTAGGAACTTTTGCTCTTCTGACGAGAGGTAGGTGGGGTCACTTAGGTCTTCATCGCGGTTCTCGAAAAAGCAGGGTACTTCGAGTTCATTTTGGATGAAGTCCATTGGTATTAGTACATGTTGATCCTCGCAGTCTACGTACAGTAACGGCCTGGTATTTAGCAGAGCTTCGATCTCATTTACGATTGTAGATTACGATTGCCCGAGTGGAAGCTTTGACGTTCCCATTGTTTTGTACAACGAATGTTTTATCGACTTGATCAGTCTTTCATAAAATCCTCTTTGCCATGGTGCGAATGGAGTAATTTGCTTCCACTGAATTGCTCTACTACTTATTTGCCGTTTGACTGTTGGATCATTTTGCATTGCATGTAATCCTTCGTTAAGAATTGTTTTTCCGAGTGCAAACGTTGAAGCGTTGTCACTAATAATAGATTTGAGAGATGTTTAAGTGTTTGGAGATGTTCTCCTGCATAAATGCATTAAATGTGGACGTGTCGTCTCCTTCGAAATTCGTAAATTTTTCCGTTCCGGCCGCTTCCAACGCACAGAACACTTCCCAGTTGTCATTCAATACAGTGATCTCGTCCAACTGCGTTTCTAATGTGCTGCAGTCAGTTTGTGAATGAATTACAGCTTCATGGCCTGTTATTTGTTTTAAGTTTTCCTCTTTTTTTTTCTTTCCCTTCTTCGCATTGTTTACTTCAGGCATTGGAATACGTTCACTGTGTATTAGGCTTTCGAAATTTGTGTTCTTCGATTCTTGCGAATTGCACCGGATTGCGGTCCCCTATTTTAACATTCAGTGTACGACCAGTATTGGTTTTACCATTTGCAGGTTCTTTTGTTGACTGTGAAGGGTTGCTGACACTTCCTGTTATCAGGTGACCCAAGCGAGTCGGTAGAAGATGCAAACCATAGGGAAGTGTGACGTGAGGTTGATCGTTTTTTCACTAAGGACCACAGTTGGTCACATCCGACTAGAATAGTGGGCTTCACCTTTAATTCGTGCTTACTTAGGTAGATGGGAAGATTATGTTGATGAATAAAGTCTACATCTTTCTTAGGAACTGTCAGAATAACAAGTGGTTTCACTAACTTATCGTGCGTGAACAAATGCATAGAGAACGGATGACCAGCGTCCCATGCTTTGAGCGATACTTTATTCGACGGTTTTTCTCGTGCTTCCTCGGATCCGAATGTACGCAGGCGTAGTCTAGTTTCTTCTATGATAGGAAGACTCATTTCTGCAGCGAATGATGCGTCGGCGAAAAGAGTTCGGCATTCGTATCCAGCAAAACGGCGAATTTTTGAAGTGTTCTTGTAGTTATGTTCACCACTGTAGTTTTTCCGGTTGGTGAAATGGTGGTTTGACGACTTTGTAGATGCTAACCTTGAGGCTGAATTTTTATGATAGTGGTCTCCTGCAGTGCAGGCTCAGGGAGCTGTGAAGTTGGACTGCGAAACTTGTTGTTGTTAGATCCTTTCAAGCGACTACTTCGCCGCTAACCATTTCGTTACATGGTGCATTAACCGGGAATCTAACCCGGGTCACCCGCGTGGCAGGCGAACATTCTACCATTGAACATATTTGACCGAGTAGATTATGGAAGCTACATTGCGGTGTTTGATGTGCGACTGCGAGGCGGCCATATATGGACATCATATAGTATTGTTTAGATGGATAGAGAACTTTTCAAGAGAGAAGTTCTCTATAGTATGATGTTTAATTTGTCTTTGCGCACTTGTTGGTTTTTTTAACGCGATAAATTCGTGCTAAATACGGGTCGTTAAGAGTTAGGGATATGACAGAATTATAAAGTAGGGTTTCTTTTGTCCCTCGAGGAGTATACATAGTATTTGGGCTGTCACTTCGTTTCCATAGTTCACCATGCAAATACAGTGCTTGCAAACCTGATCTTTACAGTAATTCTTGATGACCTGTCGATGTATCGAGCCAGTGATGCTATCTTTCCAGACAAGTCTAGTACCAATTTGCCGACCGCGGAGGGATGGAAGGCTTTGTGGGCCATGGGAGCGGGGATCGATTCCACTTGTGTGTTGCAGGGCGCCTCCTACCACTGTGCCACACGCACCATCATCAAAGCGATTGAAATTGACGTAGCAGTCAATTGCTAGTGAAATTAGTTATTACCTGAAAAAAGACCTACAAATTGTTAGATATGGATAATACATAGCTTTCCACATAGCACCTATGTTGAATAAGATATTGGTCGAGTGCAAAAAGTGTACAAAATTTTTCTCTGCCCTATTTCACGCCTAGCGATATAATGTGTAGATAGTTCAGCCGTTAATAAATTACTGTCCAACTAAAGCATCCTCTTTTATCTAAAATTTTCAGCTAGAAAGCGAATGTGTGAGCAGATTGTGTGTGCTTAGCCAGTTGAGCAACTGTCCTGTCTCAATCCTGTCGGTAAGTCAATAAACGCACCATAGAGAGTAAATGTTTCATCGTAAATGTGGATTAGCTTCATTGGTTTTTCAAGTTAACTTTGTGATCTCAAAGTTATAGATAAAAAGAGGAAGTGAAGGACAAGATAGTAAGAATTGGTGAAAGAAGATTTGATCGCCATTTTTCTCCATCGTTCTTTCGGTGTCATAGCCGGAATCTAGTTTCGTGGTGTGTAGTGAGTTCTTATTCCAGGTATCGTCAGCTGAGTCTCTGTCAGCCATGGAGCGGGCAAGGTATTCAGGAGCTCTTGCTCATGTGGAGATCGCTAGTGCTGCTGTAGTTTCGGATGGAACTCACTATTTCAACAAGTGCCTGAAGCATGCAGCTGCTCATATGACAGAAGTTCCACTAAGGCCAGAAGGATGCAACAAGCTGGTGTCTGCGTTGGCTAGGTTGGTATTTATGCTCACAACTATTTCTTATCTTGGTGACTGTTTTTTTTGTACGGCTTGTTAATTTCTTTCCGTTCTAGCCAACCACTTGCTGTTTGCACTTCTGGACATCGTGCTATTTCATCTGGGAGTCGCACATCTGCCAGAGACTTCACAGCGATGCCTAAAGTGCGGTGGTAGCTTAATCATCAGCTATTTTCCCTATTTTTGATATTACCTATAGTTGTACCTCATTCTTAGGGGACGGTAGGCGTCGAAGAGCGAATGTGTGCGGTATGGGAGAAAGCAGTTCGCACTGGACGCATTGATCCAATGCGATTTGTAGCCGTCACCTCGACTAATGCAGCCAAAATGTTCAACTTATATCCAAAAAAGGTAACTAGTTTTTTCTTGGTTTCTTCTTTTCCCACAGACCTTTTTGGTGGCGTTCATATGTTCCTCGGCTTTTGAGGTTTAGCTTTAGGTAACACAGTATTACCTACTTACGCTCTTGTGATCGTTATACTATACTAAGAATTGCAGCTGGTAATTTTTAAGTGTCGTTGTTTTGGTTTTCTTTTGTGTCAGTGTGCTAATCATAGGAATTTTTCATTTTGTTCTAATATGAAAGGGTCATGAGTAGATAGTGGGAGTTCTAACAGCAGCAGCAATAAATACTTCACTTACAATTTTTCTTTTGTGCCGATCTAGCTTTCTATTTTGAACTGTGAGTTCGGTTTACTAATTTGCCGAAGATTCTTTTCATTGATTGAATTAGTAGCGTACGAAGCCTAAATTCTAAGAAGCAGGCCTGACTGGTCGTTTAAGGGTCGCATTGCCGTAGGGGCTGATGCTGATCTTGTACTGTGGGACGCATCTGGTCGTTGGAAACTGTCATCAGCAGAGCGACAATCGTCTGTTGACATTAGTATCTATGAAGGAATGACAGTGCATGCACAGGTTCGCATCACGTTTTTTAATCTTCGTGTCTTTATCAGTAGTCGTTCAAAAAACAGTACTATGTTTTAGGCACTGGTGACAATAGTAGGTGGGCAGATTGTTTGGAAAGACGGTAAAATCCAAGAAGCGAAGGGCACGTTTGTCCCGCTGTTACCACAGAGTCCGTACCTTTTCAGTGTAGTTCAGCAACGAGATAAGGTATTTGTTACTGGTTACCAGCCATACATTTCTCAGTGCTCTGAGAACATTAGTTTTAATGATGTTCTTATTAGATGAGTAACATCGAAAAGGTTGAACGAGGTGATGTCGTAAACGCTTCTTCTAATGGACATATCAGACGAGGCAATGCAGAACCATCACATGATCGCCTCGTTCCTACGAGAAAGTCTCACTTGGAGTCGAACATTAGTTTTGGTAATTTGTTTGATTTCTGACAAAAGCTGGCGGTGTTGTCTTCTACTTGTTCTTCTCCGTAGTTCCATCTATTTACATTTCACAGAATTTAGACTGTTTCTGTCAATTACTCAGTTTTCAGGAGGAGACCATAAACCACCCGCAACTCGAGTCCGAAATCCCCCTGGAGGCAGGTCTACGGGTTTTTGGTAGAAGCAAATCGTTGTGCAGTTACGGCAGTTACTAACCACCAGGAGACTCTTTTGTCTTTGGTCTTGCTTTGTCGTAAACTCACCTCATCTGTTAGTGTAACAAACAAATGTCAGTCTTCTAAACTTTGGCCCACTCTAGTCTTTAAGTTTTACTCATGCATTTACACAGTCTCTGATCCATGGACAGTCTTCTCTGTTGCTTTATATTAACTATACTTGCTTTATTAAAAGTCATAGTTTAATTGTAATCTATAATCCATATATATTAATATGCCTAGTAGTTTGTACGCAAACTTGCGAATCCATTATTTTCTTGGGTCAAATATTGGGGGCGTGTTTTGACTCACTCTTGTTACGAGCTTAAATTAACTTTATTTAATTCAATTCAAGCACTTCTCGTAGACATATAGTCGAGCTCGCTTCGAATCTCATTCGTTCTATTTAATATTTATTCGAGTGGCATAAAAGTTCCCTCGTGATACAGATACTTATTTCGTAGTAAAATTAGGAAGGGGTTCCTTTCGATTTCAGTTTCGGTGTGGGTTGAAGACATCTTGCACTTGCAGTGCTGGTCTTTGTTGACCATTTAGAGCCATGGGGTTCCGAAACGTAGCAATATACTATGTCCGTGCAGTTTTCGTCCCGAAAGTTGAACAGTATCGAGGAGAACTGGTTGACAATTTCATTAATAACTACACTAATCCGGAGATATTCGCGAAACTCAGGACCGCGAATGTCTGCAGTATGGAACGAACGCGCAATTACGCTTTCTGGGGGTTGGTGAGTTCACCACAGTACCATACGGGTCTTTCGTTTCGCCAGTCTCTCAGCTAGTTGCTGCTAATCTCATTAATACATTGGCGAATAGTTGAGTCACTGCTTTGAGTGTTTTCAAATCAGGTGGTCAGAATGGAGAGTATGTAACTTGTTCTTCCTCTGCAGCTTGTTTTGTCGAGAGGTCTTTTTACTAAGCCATTTCAGTAATTTCACAGCTTGTCCACCACAAGTAGGCGTTCTCCGAAAAAGGTCTGTTCTAGCCCTAATAGGTTCAAAGAGACTTTTGGAAGTGTTCACCCGGCTGATTACGATTTTGCTGCCGTTGCGTTCATGTCTGCTGCATCTATATAGGATTCGTGACCTAGGGTACTGTATCACTGTGATAAGATTAGTATCGGCAAGAAATCATTAAAGAAACTTGCATAGATACGTATTCATTGGTAAAAGTGTGCTCACAAGCCGGGCTCATTCATCACTGCGTTTTTACAAAGTGCGGGTTTGCAGACAGGTAAGTAATCTCAGGTTGTTTTCATATGCTTTAACTGATATTATGAATGCTTGTCTCGGATGGTTACTTTGTAATTTACAATTTCTAGAGCTTTTACTTTTTATACTCTATAATCGACATAACAGTGATTTATTTAATCTACACTATCTACGTACAATCTAGAGGCAATTACAGTAACCGTATTTAAGTAGCGTTTATAATTTGAAACCTCAGCATAAAATCTTACAATTCTGACATCCTAAAGTAAACTCCTTCTGTGGTAATAATAGGCGGGGTCTAGCAGAATTTCTTGTTGGGCTAGGTGCACTTATCATTTCATGTTTTGCTGGCATTCGAGCAGATTTCGCTTTATAACAGCAATCATTTCTCACGACAGATAACACATCGTTTCTGTTTCCTTGAATGGTGAGCACCATGTTCGACAATATGGTCAGTTGACAGTGTAGACATTGGAATTCAGTCCATTTGGAACAGAATGAGATAGACTTGGGCCTTGAACTCAGGCATCTTCACTTTTTATACATTGTAACCTGGTTATGTTTGTGTCTCTAATGTAACGTGAAATACCACTATATCTTAAGTGGACACTGGCAACCCTAGACATAACCGTTTTTAGTGGTTCTGACAACTCTCGTTTTCTGTTACCAAGTTCAAGAAAATTTATAGCCTTGTAGCATTTTAATGGCTCTTCTGGAGCATTCGTCGATATGCTGTACAATAGGGTTCTAGCTTCCTCGATGTTCATAGTAGACAATATTTTCGCATGCCAAGTTTTCGATTTATTGATTCTTTTTCCCTTTGTAGTCTCTATCATAAGTATGGTTTTAGTACAGAATGGCTAGAAATGACTATACTGCAAAAGTGACTTCTCAGAGACGGCAGTAATGTGGTTGTTGGATGGTGGAGTTTTCCTTGCGGCACAGAAGTGCTGCAAATGCCAGAAAAACATAGGACATTGCGTAGATCCTGAATCATGCATCGGAGGAAGAGACAATGAATCTCGTCTCTTCGACATTTATCGGTCTCCATGACTTATTCTTCTTTTGTTTATAACATAACTATTGTCTCTTTAAACTTTTCACATTCTTTGCTGATGGGTTCTATCAGTTTACTCTTCATGAGCAGTACGTCGTAAATAAAGCTTAACTAGTCTGCTATCAACATGATTTAAGCCTATACTACGAAACAATAGCCGTTCGACATGGGCGTATCTTAATGGCCCTAACGGCGCGACTCATGCGAGGATCGATCCCATTCCCATAAACAAAAGTTAGTGCGTCCTTGACACTTTAGTGGTGTCATTGCTGTTAACTGGATCTCATCCATCACCTCAATGTGATGACTGGATTCATCCATATCGGAAAAGAACTTTTGTCATCGCTTAAAGAGAAAAACAACTCGTGTATGAGGAGAGCGTTCTCAAGGAAATCCTCTCATATAACTGACAGATTAAAGAAAACCAGACCGACGAATACGAGCTGCTTGTCGAAAGATTCAAAACATGCACCATATTCGTCTCAGTTCCTCAAACAAGAGCTTAAGGCCGTATCTCCATCACTGTTAAAGATCTGCTTGAAAAGAGAAGAAAACCAAACATGATCCCACTGCAGTACACCTAAAAGGACAAAGGATAAAGCTGTCGGCGTTGATCAATCCCTGGGGGATGCGCCATGCATTCAACTTCATTAAACATCGTTAGAGTTTGATTGAATGAATGTCTGACTTGTACAATAACTCGCGGTGGCCTACCGATGCATCGAGCCAGTGCTGCTATCTTCCCAAACAATTCTGGCACCAATTTGCCGACCCCGGAGGGATGGAAGGCTTGGTGAACTTAGGGCGCGGTACCAAACCCATGTGTATAGCAGGGCAACTTTAACCACTGAGCTACACGTGCTTCTGATCAAATGTAGTACGCTTAATAATAAATTTGAACTTTAGAAGATTTTTACAGGTGAAACTACATTGCTGCAGAAAGAGGAAAAGCTGTTATTGTTGGGAGCAATATTTTACCATTTACTTACTGCCTATTCAATGAGGGTTGACAATGGGACAGCGATTGGCACCAAGCCTTGCCATTGTGTTTATGCCTAAGATAGAAGCCCCTGTTCTCGATCTCAGGCCAGTACTCTACTGCAGATATGTAGATGATTGTTTTGTCGTCTTCTCTACGCAGGAGGAGATGGACAAATGCTTTGAATTATTGAACGAGCAATCCGAGTACATAAAGTTCACTCGGGAGAAACCGAGAAAAAACTGGCTTCCGTTTTTGGACGTTCAAATAAACCTATCAAGTAGCGGTTACCTGACAAAGTGGTATCGAAAGCCAAGTAACAAGAACATCCTTGTCCATTTCCTTTCTTCCCACCCTTCACACACAAAGAGGGCGATTGTGAGAAACATGTTTCGAACAGCCATCTCTGTGCGCACTACCAGGGAACTAAAGGAAGAATCGCGCGACTTGGCTCGGCAAATAGCCATCTCCACTGGCTACGAAATAGTAACCCCACGAGATAAGTTTACAAGGAGAACGACGCGCCCACGCGAAACATTTGGCCAAAACAAAATCCCGTTTATGTTGCCTTTTATAAGCGATGAAGTAAGCGTAGCTAAAACGATGCTTAAGAAGGGCAAGTCTAGAGGAATCGGTAGCGATAGTTGAAATACCACCGACTACTCTACGTCGCCAATTAGTTCGCAACCGCCTGTATGGCCGTCTATGTGAAACAACAAATTGCGTAATTTGCCCTTACGGCAGGGACGGTGATTGCATGAGTTCAGGTACGATATAGCTGATCTCTTGTAACAATTGTGGATATGAATATATTGGCGAAACGTGCAGCAGACCTTTGTGTATCCGTATAAAGGAACACCTAGATGGCAAACAAAAACTAAGACGAAGCACCCCACTAGGCACGCATAGGATACAAAAGCGTAGCGGAGACGATTTTGAAGTAAAAGTCAATATCCTTGCACAGGAGTCCAAAACACCAGCGCGAAAACTCCTTGAGGCTTTTTGGATCAATGCCAAAAACCCTGCAATGAATAGCAAGGATGAATGCCCGGAGGTCATACGCGACCTGATCCCGTACGTTCGCATCGATTTTTGATGTGGAATGGTGCAGTCGTCAACCACATTCGACTATAATCAGCTGTTCTAAACTTCCTCATTGGAAGTCACGAAAAAAGCGGTGAGCTTTTCGAGAAGTTGTTGATCATGTAATTACCAAGGAGTTTTTCGTCTTTTTGTAAGTGTTATTGAAGCGTTTGGCCTAGTAGATTGTATATCAGCACACCCTTGCAGGCTCTGAAGAAGGCGATACTGCCGAAACGTCAGCTAGCGTTGTATTGTATTGTGTTTTTATGGAAGTAAATGTATGCTGTTTAAAAACCTCGCGATTGCTGAACAAGAAAACGACATTCATATTCCAATGCCGAGGTTAATAGAAAGTCGATCCTGGGAATTACTGCCTATTCTTTTTTCATGGCAGCTGTTATGTGAAGTACAAGCAGAAGGATCCCGAGATATTGGTAAAACCCGGAACCTCAGGTTCGCTCTTAACCAAGCAGCAAAGTGAAAACAGCTGAAAAAGAACTAGTCTGAAGAAGTGAGGTCGGCGCCTGTGCGTCTAGTCGAGGTACATGTGACTTTGTGATTGCAGAGACTACCTCGTACCTGTATGTATCACATTCAGTGGACATGAAGAACAAAATAAAGGGAGAATTATACGAAAGTAGAGCCTGCATAAGCAGTGTTCGGGATTCTGAACCAGCCAAATCACTGATCTGGTGATCTGTTTTCACCCTTTCGATTCCACGATGTTTCTATCGCTCTGTTGTGCAGCAAACATTCCGATAGGTATCATGTGGGGCGCTCTCGGCAGGACGCTTGGACGACGTATTTTGAAATCTGACCGTCACAATCAAATTACAGCCCGAATGCCTACCTCTTCGAAACATCTCATTTTCGAGACCAAACACGCATCGAAAGCTAGACATCGGTGCTCTGGTCATGTAATGAGAAGAGCAGAGGACCGGTGGATAAAGAACTGAACTATGGACCAGGACGGCTGTCCATATGATGGGCGGACATGTTTGTGGCTGATGTCAACAAGTTGCATTTGCAGATGGAATTGATTCACGGATCACAGAATGTGTCTTGCGGAGGTGGCCATGTAAGAGTAGACCACAGCAAGGGCCGACGACTGCTCGAGGAAGATACAAATGGAGAATGTGCTAGGGCCGACACTGCTAATAAAGATGGAGCATCCAGCTATCCAAGCAGGTAATAATCTGTGTGCGGTAGGATACCAGGAAAAATCAACTCCACCAACATTCAATGACATTTGTGACGAAGACAAGAAATTCGCCGAGCAGTAGCCGAACCCAATCGCAAAAATAGTCCTAGGACCTTCGTGGATGGTGAATGCGAGACGAATCGAGTTCCAGATGTGCTGAGGTCCGCATAGTTTGATAAATGTGATGTCGGGTCGTGTAATAAAAATAGTAAATAGTGTTTACTGGAGGAGAACAGGTAGCCGTACAGGCAACTGATCGAAGTCTCTGTCGATATCTATTTAATCAGCTGCTTGCCGATATATGCCAGCTTCCCACTAAGTTGACTAATTGCCACAATATGCCGTACGTTGGTCTCTTCTACTCCAACGTCTGTTCTGAAGTTATCTGAGGTTGAAATTTAGTTATAATTCGTTGCCTTCACAAATCAATAGTATCGTTCAGGATGTCTCTGCTGATCAAGAACGGTACGGTTGTGAACGAAGACGCGATGTTCAAGGCGGACGTACTTGTCAGAGGTGCTGTTATCGTGTGGGTAAATTTCTTTGTCTTACATTTACTGTTACAACTGTTTCCTAAAAAGAAACACTGGCTTGTGGGAGCCTGTGGAAATAGCAGGTCTTTGTTGTTCTGCTCTCGGATAAGTAAGCTATCAGTTTCTCAACGTCCTGAAGAGATAGGGGAAGGGGAGCGGGACTTGGTTAGCCGCGGACTCGGATCGAACCAAAGATCACGTATTTGTTGCAGGGTACCTCTGACCACTGTGCAATACGCATCCCTTGCCTTAAGCTATGTATGAAAATTTGTTCATATTTAACAAAATGAGAAATTTCTACTGATCAACGTTTTGCTTAACAAAAAGAAACGACTAGTCAGAATCGCCATTGATCAATACAATATCCACACAATTATTCATCAGTACTATAAACGGCTGGAGACCATTCAGCTTTCCTCCCGTCCTGAAAAAACCACTAAATTGCAAAAAGGGGATGACAAGTACCCTTTTTTCCTATACAAATCTTTTTTTGAGAGCGGGCGTGTCGGAACGGGTAGTATAGTGTAGACAGTAGATAGATAGTGCTATAGATATAGATAGTGCTCTGTAGTATTGATTCAGCTTTGCATAATAATGTCTCTAATTACCAATATAGACAAAGTTTTTCATAACAGTGTACAGAAATTGGTAGCTATAGTCTTATGAGTCATGAAGTTAGGTGTTCGTTTTTGAGATCGTCGCTGAATGATCGTGAAAAGTCTAGGCTTTCAGTGAAATAGGATCATCACTAAAAGCTGGAAACGATGTCCAAGTTCTGGATGCTGAAGGGAAAATGGTAATACCGGGTGGGATTGATCCACACACTCATATGCAGTTGCCGTTCATGGGTGGGGTGGCTGTAGATGACTTCTATCATGGCACCCGAGCAGCGCTGGCCGGCGGCACGACTACGGTAGTTTGTCGCTTGTTTTTCGTTTCGGAATGTTATATATATATATATATATATGTATATATACTTATACTATACTCAAATAATCAATTTTAACACCAATACTGATTAATATAGGGTACCCTCCCAACGGTTTACCGCCTCATCGTGGCTGGTAGGTGTTCCTGGGTGTAAGAGTGCGATGTACAGCGGAGGGATTCGTCCCCCCCACCGGCAGGGTTTCTCAAGCCAAGGAATCCGGCCTTTCCATCAGGAAGCCTAGCTAAGAGTAAACCAATACCAGGTTCCACCACCGTCCTGGTATCAAAGTTGCATGATAGCAAATCTCCCTCTGATCCACAAGGGCTGCGACTACCTGTGGCGGTGAAGACCTGGGGCAGCCTTTGGCCAGGCGGACCTTCGGGATTCCAGAGAACCACAATGGTTTAACCAGAAAATCTCCTAAAAATTGTGATTATGCTGAGGCCCGCACAACCAGTGAGGACGGGCCGTTCAAATACCATGTAAGTAAGTAAGTTAATATGAATACATGAAACTACGATGGAATTTGAATGAATAAACTTTTACTTACTGCCTATTATTTTTTAATGGCACAGCGTTTTATGAAACACAACCACGAGAATACTGGAATATGAGCAAAACTCGGAACCTCAGCTGGGCTTCGAACCCCGCTCCGCGTTTGCCGCTTTTGGGTGATCATGTACTATCCAACGCACCAATCAAGGCCCCTGATTTGCCTTTCCTCAGCCATGCTTTTATCCTATCGGTATTATTAGAAGTCATCAGTCAACGAGAATGATCTGGGGAGCCCAAATAGGCATTTAACATAGATAAGCTGAAGCTGCAATCGAAATAAAAATGTTCAACTTTTCTTTATTAATTGCTATTAGCCAAGTCGGAACAGAAAAATGGCTGAGAAAAAGGCAAAAGAAGAGCCTCGGTTGATGTGGGGAATGGCACGTGAGGGCCCGGAAAGGGATGATCACTGGGGTTCGAAGCCCAACTGAGGTCCCGAATTCTGCTCGTATCCATTTTCGTGGTTGCTTTTCATCCAGTACCCTGCCATAAAAAAATAATGAGCAGCAAACAAAAGTTAAACAACATAAAAAGTAATCTATCTGTTAGAAAGTTTCATGTTTTCAACTGGAAATAGTATACACTTTTAAGCGATTTAGTAGAGTGAAAAAGGAATTCTGTTATCTCCTTTATTGTATTTAATCTTTTTTTAGTCTCAATCCTTTCATTTTTAAGTTAGTCAGGGACATTAACTATTCAGATAATTGATTTTGTCATTCCAACAAAGGAAAGCACACCGTTACCAGCATATAAGCAATGGAGAAAATGGGCAGATCCAAAGGTGAATCGAAACTCCATTTCTTCGTTGTTAACGTTTATCTCCCCAGTTTGTTTTGGAACTGAATGGTCAATTAGCTAGATTCGCTTAATATATGATTTTAATGACGGACTTTATCTCTAATGAGTCATAAAGATGGCAACTTCTGCCAAATCTGGTCTAAACATGGAATGGAAACAGTTTTAAAGGTGTTAGGACGTCTATCCTAGACTCGAGTTACATCTTTCCGTTGTTTTTGCTTAAAACTGTAATTACATTAGCAATAAACTACAATGAAGGACATGCGTGTTTCCATCCGATATTGCACCTATCGTAGACGTGACTGAAGTACATTGGATAGAGGTGCCGTGCAATACCCCATATCTCACAGGATCATGGATTCATTCCCATGCACCATATCCATCAGTACTCGACAAACTGGTAACGGATTTGTCTTAATGGGTAAAAAACAGTGCATCGATATCCCTAAGCCCTCACAGGTCGTTGTACATGGCAATTATATATTCAACCACCTCTACGATGATATGAATGGAGTCGAATACTTGGCGAATCTCAAAGTGATTGATCAATAACAAACATCTTATCGTTTATGCTTTGCTGCGCCTATGATATAAAATCTGAAGCAATAGTTTTAGGTGTGTTGTGATTACGGGCTCTCTATGGCGATTACCAGCTGGAGCCCTGAAGTCGAAAGAGAAATGGAAGAAGTCGTCAAGCCTGAATACGGTATCATAACACGATATCCTTTAACATATACTGCTTGATCATAGTTTTTCTCGACTACTGACAATAATTTCCCGGAATAGTTAAGAAATTATAGCCTTATAGAGGAAACTTTGCTCTATCTCCATAACGGTGTATAGTTTCTATAGGAGTTATCGATTTCAAATTTGTTCAGAGTTAAAAGATTGAGGAGGATATTCCAAAATCCTAAATTTCTCACGCAACCACAGCAGCCACAAATATCAATGATAGATTGAAGGACTCCTCTTGTTCTATTGGACGAAATTTCGCTTCTTCATTTTCTTCGTTGTTCAGAATACGAGCCTCGTTAAAAAGCAGGAAAACACATCATCCTTTCTTTTTACATGATTCGACACCATATATTACTTCTTGAGGATTTACCCTTCTTAATCCATCGCTTTGAGCGCTCGTCGACTAGATTCTCCATGGGATTTTGAAATAGCCTTTTTAAGGCGTTTCCACGTGGATTGGATGTAGTGAGGTGCTTTCAAACGAAGCGTGTGCAAACCTTCCAATCCCGGAGGGATGAAAGGATTGATGCTCCCAGGGCCGGGTCGAACCGGCTCTTGGATTCGTTAAACTTCGGTCGTGATGAACAGCATCACTACCACTTCACCATATGAGCCATATCAAGCTCATACGAGGCCGTATGTGTTATGCGAACGAATTATCGTTCGAACGCAGGTTTTTTTAAATGGAAGATTGAGAAATCTGAGCCATTTCAGGAATCAATTCATTCAAATTTTTTCTCGCCTATGCTGGAATGTTTATGGTTCATGACGACGAATTCTATCAAGGTAAGCCATATTTTTTAACACGTATCTGCACACGGTCATGAAAGCGATCAAAGCGAAGAAGTGCTCCTGGTGCTACTGTTCAGATGATGCCAAAACCTGCGGAGGTGGTATTTCATCTGAGGTAATATAGATATGCTCTGCCTCAGTTTGGTTCACAGGCAAGTACTTCACAAGAAGGGAAGCGTGTGGAGCAGTGCTCGGAGGCGCCCTGCAACGCACAAGTGGAATCGATACCTGCGCCCATGGCCCACCAAGCCCTCCATCCCTTCGGACTCGGCAAATTGGTACCAGACTTGTCTGGGAGGATAGCGGCACTGGTTCGATATATCGGTAACCCACTGCGAGTCATTGTAAAGGCCAAATGTGCATTTAATCACCTCGAAGCGATGCTTAATGAAGTGCAATGCATGGCACATCCCTCAGGGATTGATCAACGCCGAGAGCTTTATCCTTTATCCTTTCTTACTAAACAAGCTACGGTACCACAGAAGATGCAAATCTGAAAGTTGTGCACTAATTTTACTATCGGAAGAATTGGGTTTTTCAGGTTTGCTCACTTGTTCACGACTTGGAGCATTGGCACGTGTTCATGCTGAAAATGGTCCAGTGATAGCTGAAAAGAGTAAAGCTCTACTTAAGCAAGGAATCACAGGGCCAGAAGGTCATGCTCAAAGTCGACCAGAAGAGGTTTGCATCCTATTTAGTGTTAATGAATCTTCATGCATAATTAAATGCTCCAGAAGAAAAATGTTTCATGACCAACAGCTTCCATACTTCGGAAATGAAGGAAGGAAAGCTGCATCATGTCAATAAACTTAGCGACCTCAGGCTAATTTTTTGTCTTCAACCAGTCATATTCTCCACCCATGTAAGACTCCGTAGGGCTGGTCTCCTAAAGTAACCATAAAACTTACAACGGACAAAAGGGCTCAGAAGAAGGCGAAACCACCGGCACGTTATCAAACATTGAAGAGATCTTTTTGTTCCTGCTGTTAACGACATCGTGTCTGATCAAGAAAAAAGGCTCAGTTGACTTCACTTACTAAATGTACTATTCCTTTCTTTAAGACAACTAAGTTACTTTATTGAGCTAATAACTGTAAGCATTCCTCTTTTAACAGTATATTAGTTTTTTTAAATATAAGTGCATTTGTGTTTACTGACTATACTTTACTTTGATACTTTGATGGCCCGTCCTCACTGATAATGCGGGCGCCAGCATAATCTTCACTATTTCGCAGTTTTGCTGGTTTAGCCATTGTGGTTCCCTGGAGTCCGAAGGTCAGCCTAACCGGTCCGCCCCAGTTTGTCACCACCACAGGCAGTCGCCGTCCTTGTGGATCAGAGGGAGATTTTCCATCAAGCGAGTAGTTTAGTACCAGGACGGTGACGGATCCTGGTATTGGTTTACTCTTAGCTGGGCTTCCTGACGGAAACGCCGGACTCCTTCCAGCTCGGGAGATCCTGCCAAGGGGATGAATCTCCGTGCTGGTCATCGCAGCTCGACCCTCGAGAACATCTTCCAGCCACCACAGAACGCCCTTTCCGGAGTCTGACATTTTACCCACTGCACTGCTGATAAGTAAAATATTATACATTGTAATTTCGACTGCAGCCTTAGCCTAGTTGGGTTCGATGCCGTTTTGTGCTCCCAGATCACTCCCGTTGACGGTTGATTGCAGATTTCACTTTTACGATAAAAACTAGGCTGAAAGAAAACGAGGGCTTAAGTGGTGCAGTGGGTAACATGCGAGCCCCTGGAAAGGGTAATCGCGTGTTCGAATTTAGCCTGGGGTTTCGTTTTTGTAAATTTCTTAGCATCATTGTGGCTATATTTCACATAATACCTTGCGATGAAAAAACGATAGGCAGTAAATGAAAATTTATGTATTGAGACGTTCTTTTCTATGCAGAAACACTGGGAAGGATTCAGTTGATGTTTTTAAATTTGTAGCTGGAAGCTGAAGCGACAAATCGAGCATGTGTTTTGGCATCACAAGCGAACTGCCCACTCTACGTGGTACATGTGATGAGCAAAGGAGCTGCAAAAGCTATCGCTCACCATCGACAAAAAGGCGAGAGCTTCATGTACAGACTCGAAAACCTCCAACCGTTCTTTTATACCCATTTTCTTCTTACCTTCTGACTTATCCATAGTTCTAGTCGCATTTCTCCTCGACAACATTATCCAGACAAAATAATTACAACATGTAACAGCAAAAAAAGTAGGAGGGGATGAATCCATTCGGCTAGGAAACGTCACTGAAGGAAAGAATTATCAAATTAAGAGTGCAATTACCTACATAAAAGGTAAAGGATAAAGGATAAAGCTCTTGCAGTTGGTCTTGATGGATGCGCCCTGCATTCGACTTCATTAAGTATCGTTGGAGGTGACTGAATGCATATCTGGCCTGTCCAATGACTCGCGATGGCCTACCGATGTGTAAATCCAGTGCTGCTTCGGTCCCAGTCAATTCTGGCAGCGCTCTGCCGACCCCGGAGCAATGAGAGCCCTGGTTAGCTTTGTGCGCAGGGATTGATACCGTGTGTATTGCACGTTGCCTCCGACCAATGCGCTACAAGCGTCGATACAGATGTAAATTAGTAGAGAAACCTCACTGTTATGTAAATTTTTCACTTTTCAGTAGTCGTTCGTTAGATCTTGGTAGATTCCGTCTACTTCGACATTTTTGAAGATGGACTATCCGGTAGTCAGACAGATATTATTGCTATGAACTTCCTTGATGTGACCTGGAGGCGGATATGTAAACGGAGGGCTTTTTTCTGGTTTCTAAGTAGTGCATAAAGAGTAGAACATGGATGGAATGTGACCGAGTAGTCGCCCTGAGGAGCTGCATTCAAGTAATTTGCTTCACTTCTCCGTTAGATCAAACTGTCTTGAACTTCCGTACTTAGATTTCTCGTACTCATGTGACGCGTGAGTTCCATGACCAGGACGCCTTGTATACAATGTGCTAGGGAATCCTTAGATCTTCAGCAGTGGTTAATCTCTTTGGATCACATTATTAGCACATTACAAGATGACTGAGTAGGATTCTTTCAAGATCCAAAACGATATAACAAGGAGGATCCAGACTATTTCACATATTCTTTGCAAACAACAATGTACATGTACAGGTGTATCAGTGTCCAAACCACGCAACCTAATGAATATAAAGTTTAAAATATAAACAAGGGAAGCTTCGGGTCTTTGGGAACTTGCCCATGGGTATAGATTAAAAAACAAAGACCACTGATAACAAATGTGTAATCTTGTGTGTGCGTTCTTCGGAGAGGACCCTACCGAGTGTCTCGAGAGGGCGACGAAGACGATTGGATATCATGCTAGCGACCGGCTGAGTTACCCTATGATTAATGGGGTTGCAGGTGGTGCCAATAGTACTTGTTCTCTGGGTACTTGTTACTCAAGCAGACTTCAGTACTTAGATACTACATCTGAATAACATCATATATCGAAAAACTTGTTTTAGGGAACATAATTTTTGGCGAGCCGATTGCAGCTGGTCTTGCTGTTGATGGCTCCCATTACTACAACAAGGTAGCGCGATCAGAATGGCCAATCTTGTTATGTTTATGATTTTTGGATTTACATGACTAATAAACAGAACTATTATATGGTAGTCGGCCGAAATCATTACACGTTCCATAGAATCTTTCTAATTGAGTATCCACGAATCTATCAATATAGAAAGCTATACATGTCGGAGGAAGGTCTACATATTTCCAAAGTCGTGATTTTTGCTTTGAAGGATTGGTGTCATGCGGCTCGATACGTCATGTCTCCACCACTTAGTCGCGACCCGTCTACTCCAGAAGCTCTTATGGATTTGCTAGCTGCGTAAGTCAAAGCATAAGATCGTTAAGAAGACGTCGTTATTAGAGTATGGCCAATCTAATTCTGTTTATCGGAACTAGAAAATAATGAAAATAGAGAATACCAATCAAAAAATTGGTTTCGAATGAAGGTAAAGGAATTTGTAGCATATGGAGAATAAGGTAAAAGAACCACAAAGATGTCAAGATATTTGCAAAACTTCGGATCGCAGGTGTCTACGGTCGGGAACGAACGCGTTATTAGCCTTTATGGGGGCTAACGCGTTCACCATTACACCGTGTGAGTCCTTTGTTTCTCCTTTCTCTCAGCTGGTTTTCTATCTACCATTGCCATTAGCAATTCACCTTATTGGCACTGATAAGGTAACAGAACTGTAGATGAAAATTGGACAAGTAAATTCCCAGTATGTAGTTTGTTGCCATACGAGAATACACAGCTGAGTTTTTTCATACTTGGTTACTTAAAGGTGGAAGTGAAGATTAACTGCTCGAAAACTTAGAGATATTATTGGGAGATGTCCTAGTTTACACTTTCTTCGATCGACTTTAATTAAGAGCATTAAAATTAACGCTTCGTAAAGTCGTTCCTGCTGTCATTAGCAATTACAGTGGCGAACTTCATCTTACTGGTACTGATAACTGCACTTTCAATTGCGAACAGAAGATGGCCGGTCGTCATGACTTCACAAAGATTCCAAATGGTGTGAATGGAGTAGAGGACCGTATGAGCGTGGTCTGGGACAAAGGAGTCCATACCGGAAAGATTGATCCCATGAGATTTGTACAGATTACTAGGTGGGTTATAATTCATACTCTACGTTCTCTTAAACGACCACCAATGATTTCCATTCTGCATCCCAACTGTGGTCTCGGGGACATATCCTCCCGTACACTTTTTTAAAATTTCCATTTCACATGATCCGTCAACATACCTACTCTGCGGATCTCAGCACTTGCGTTCGATTCGTTTTCCTTGCATCCAACATCCCAACGGTCTTCGAACATTTCGCGTGTTGCTGTTCCATTCGTAGAACCTTGGTTGAGTGAGTTCTCCTTGCAATAATGGAGATAGCCGAGCCAAGACGTTCCCACCCGGATTGGAGGAGCGCAATGGGCGGGGGTTAAACTAGAGCCTTTACTTCTTGATCGATGGCATCACTAACCACTGAGCTATCCCCGCTGCTCCTGTTAAATCGTATATTACATTTACGAGTATCATGTTCATATGAACGTACGACTTTTTCATTACTGGTCAGTGTACCAGACATGTGAAGCTACACAATGTGATTCCCCAACAGAGTATTTCCATATAAAAACCTCATACTTCCTTTAATGGTATGACTCAATCGTAATTCAGACCAGAATTCATACTTACAGAGAACTTCTTTTAGTAGGAAAACCCTTTCGTTCAAACAGAACGTTAATGTTTTCAGTTCTATGGCAGCAAAAATCTTCAATATTTACCCAACAAAGGGAAGAATAGCCGTCGGGTCAGATGCTGACATTGTGATATGGAATCCCACGGCGACTAGAACGATCTCCAAAAATACTCATCATCATGTTTGTGATTTTCTCCATATTTTTTCTGATACGACAACCAAAAGCTTATAATCTTAGGCGGTGGACTTTAATATTTTCGAAGGAATAACGGTACATGGAGTCGCTGAGACCACCATTTCTCGTGGACGTGTACGTTTTTACAACCATACCAATTGTCGTTGAACTTCTCACTTCGTTGAAAGGTACTTTAGGTCGTATGGATGAACAACACATTAACCGTCGAAGCAGGGTCGGGACGATTCATTCCACTGAAGCCTTATTCGCCTACCGCATTTGCGACTATTCAACAGCGAGCGAAGGTGAATAACAATATCTAGTTGTATTCCACAGTTGTAGTGTATACCCACTCCACATTTCATACCACTATGGAAAGAACTAGGTGCGCGTGTAGCGCAGTGGTCGAACGCGCCGTGCAAAACACACATTGAATCGATCCTGGCTCCCCAAGCCCACTAAGCCCCCCATTCCTCCGGAGTCGGCAGACTGATAAAAGACTTGTCTGAGAAGATAGCAGCACTAAGTCGATACATCGGTAGGTCACCGCGAGTCGTAAAGCCAGATATGCATTCAATCACCTATCGCCTCCAAACGATGCTTAATGAAATCGAATGCATGGCGCGTTCACTAGGGATTGATCAACGCCGAGAGCTTTGTCCTTTTTATCTTTTAAACAAAGTACTGTTAGAAATAATTTAAAGAAATACCTTAACGCTACCATGCACCGCTAGCATATAGGTTCCCAACCTACAGTCCAAATAGACTTCAAGTACTGGAATACCTGTTAAAAACTAGCTAGTAGTAACATTACTGTCTCAAAAATCAGTTAGTAGTAACACTACTGTCCATCTGGTGACAAAGGGAACTTTTTCATCACCATCAGTAGCCACTGGTAAATGAGGATAAAGCTCTCGGCATTGATCTCGCCTTGCAGGGTGCGCCACGAATTTGAGTTCATTAAGCATCGCTGGAAGTGACTGAATGCATGTATGAGTTTTACAATAACTCTCGGTGACCTATCGACGTATAGATTCAGTGGTGCTATCCTCCCAGACAATTTTGGTGCTAATTTGCCGACCTCGGATGGATGGAAGGCTTGGTGAATCTGAGGCGCGAGGATCGATCCCATGTGTATTGCACAGTACCTCCGACCATTGCGCTACACGCGTAACACCATCACTGGTTTAGCGTTCCGCAAAAATTAAATGCTCATAACAGATGCATTAATAGACCAGGATGATATGTCATACATGACTAATACTGCGGGCGGCTAAAAATTAAGGGTTGTCATGAAAATGTCGTTAGAAAAGTTGGTCTCTTCGTGCTTTCTACTATTTCTTCATACCCTCAAAATCTTACCGCATTCAGGTAATGACTCCTAGAGCAGTGAAGAGGGATGAAGCTAATGGAGACGTTCCTCGAAGGCGAATACCACCTGGTGGAGAAAGTACTATTCAACTTGGACCATGAACTCATTTGAATCTCTGATACTAGTTATTTTATACAACATGGTATGTAAAGATGAATACGCTTACATATTTCATGCAGTGGCAATGACTGACAGTGTCTTTCATATGATCGTTCTGCAGAACAACAAAAGGATAGCATTGACAAACTTTTCTGTTGTAGGCTGATGAATCGAGAGGAAAAAAAAGAAGTACATGCATTCTTCCAAAGGATAGGTAGGCCAATGTCATCGAGACGAATTGAGAACAAAACAGTATCGAAAGTTAGAAAAGCAGGGAAAAGATGGTGGAATCAAATAGAAACACAATAGGCCAACAAAATAGACGAGATGAATAATCACTACAACTCAACATCGCACCGTTTTGCAACCCAATCTCTTACTATCAGGTACAACTCCTTCTTTGCGTCTTCGGAAACTAACCGGCGAGCTGGTTGTTTAAGTTCTTCATAAAGCATCTCCAAATTTACATTGTCGACACCTCTCTCTTTGATCATTCGTCGAGCCATCGCTTTCACCTATCAAGTACATTTGTATTAATTTTCAAGATCTCACTAGTTTACAGACTTCACCATCTGAGACATCACCTCTGTCTTTAGACATCGAGCAAATAAGCTGAGCTTTAAGAGTATTCTGTGTATATATAACTACTGCTACTGCAGACACTGTAAAGTTTTGATTACATAGCACAACTGCTCGGTACCGTTGAATAGCATTACAGATTTAATATTAGACTGATGCAAAAATAATGGCCGTCTTTGAACGGCAAGTAGCGTTTTGGTTCGGATGATGTTTGAGGAATCCCAAATTTATGACATGGCGCTCACGCGTCTTCACTACAAGCAATCTTCAGGCTCTGTGAGTTGGACTTTTCAAACAAGTTCAGCACCTATTTCCAGATCCTTGCGAGATGGAACGTTTGGATAGCAGGGTGTCGAACTACGTCTTTGCAAGCATTGAACAGCACTTCTATTGTTTCATTACTCAAGTCCACACGCAACTTTGCCAGTGAAAATGAGAGTTAGTAGAATATACGTATTTTCCTCAACAAGGCAGTTTATTTCGGCAACTTAATATTCGAAGATTCTGGATGTGACGAATTCCACAAGGCAATTTCTGCACCTGTTTAGTTGCTGAACAGTTCCTCAGATATCTGCCGAGATGCTTAACAAAAGTGGTCGTCCCGCATGAGGGCCATTGGGTATGCAGAGTGTAGCGCAGCTTCGCAGAGCAACTCGTTCAAATTCTGCAGAACAGAATTCTTGACGACGATCTCTCCGTTCATTGCATTCAAGCGATACTCATTAATCGAACTGCCCCCAAAATAATGAACGACTACTAGGTTATGGACTTAAGTTTTTTTTTGACAATTCCTGAAAGTTTTTGGACATACAACTTTGATTATCAACTTGGCCCTCCCCATCATAAAGACGCATATCTCCGGCAAGAAACTTTCCAGATTATCTGTGTACTAGTCATTCCAAAGCCTTACTTCCGCTGATGCTTGGATGAAATTTCCAGCTGTTGCTATCGCTGCTTTATGTTTAATTTTGAACTGATGGAGTAAACCCATGCTATTTTCACGACTACAGAAGATCATTTCGACTAGCCTAAGCCATTGTAAAACAAGTGTTAGGAAAAACACAAATATTAGGTGAAAATAATATTAGTTTTAAAATCATGCACATCAGCAAAGCATACAGTGAACCTCCCAACGGTTTACCACCTCATCGCAGCTGGAAGGTGTTCCTAGGCGTCGGACTGCGATGTACAGCGTGGACTTCATCCCCCTAGCAGGGTCTCCTAAGCTGAGAAGGAGACCAGCGTTTTTATCAGGTAACTCAGCTAAGAATAAACCAATACCAGAATCCACCACCGTCCTGGTATCAAAGTCCGCACGGTGGCAAATGTCCCTCTGATCCACAAGGGCGGCGACTGCGCTGTGTTGGTAACGACTTGGGGTAGAATGTGGCTAAGCTGACCTCGGGACTCCAGAGCCAAATCAGCAAAACTCCGAACAATGGAAATTATTCTGTGGCCGACACAAAAAATGAGGACGGGCCATACAAGTATAGCAATAAAATCCGCCCTTTTTATTCCATTAACAATATGTGATTACTACCTCTTTCGGAGAAGTCTTTACGATACACTATATTAGATAGTGAGCAAATGCATCATTCTAGAAATGAAGAAGACAACAGGGAATAAATTTACCTCGGTCACCCATCCATCCTTTCTTAGTCGTGCCAAAAGTACTTCCTTGGCTCGCTCTTTTTCCCCAGAACTTGAGAATTCGAGCTCGAGATCCTCTTTAGTTTTTATGCCATTCATTCTACTAAAGATGGAAATAAGACAACTACAGATGTAAACGGGTGCCAATCCTGTACAGATATGGGAAGGGATTTTTGCCAGAATTGTAGCGACACTTCTTATAACAAGATTTATGTAAAAATCAACAACAAAGGAACAAAGCGATGTTCAACAACTATAAATGACTGAGTATTTACAAAGAACAGAAACTGATTTAACGAATTTCCAGTACATTAATGAAAAACAAGTGAACACAAGTAGGACACGGAACATTCTATTTCACTAAAGTACCCTTGTGCTTCCCTGTTTTCGATCGGGCTTTAGATCTTTTGTTGACATCTGATCCTAATTTTGAGGCCTTGCGAGTTTTCGCCTTTTTCTTCAACGTTTTCACCGTTTTAACAAAAGCCGAAGAAATCGCGCTGCTCTCACAGTCATTATCGAAATCAGCAGCCATCCTTGCTTTTTTGCAGCTTCCAATATCACCAGATTTGTGACGCCTTAAACATCATAGATAAGTTATCTTGAAGAGAGCCATGCAGATGAAACCACCAACTTCTCCAGTTTCATGCGTTTTCTTTCTTGCACGGTTTCCTCATGCATTTCCATCAACTTCATTTCAGCTTCCTCATAATCCTTGCGAGTCAATACCTGATAAAAAAAAATCAGAAACAATAAGTAAAACCACTCAAGGAATAACATTTGTACTTACATTTGCATCAGATATAATGAGATACAGCCATGTAAATATAGATTAAGGGACATGAAATTTCTTCGCACATTTTCTTTCGGTAATCACTAAAGCCTATATCTGTTCCTGTGGGAGGAAGGAGAGACGGAGGTAGAGACGGAGAGAGAGAGAGAGAGAGAGAGAGAGAGAGAGAGAGGGAGAAAAAGGAGGGCGGGGGGCGAACTGGTATGCATTACTATTATCTGGGAGAACAAAAACACTGACTTGATACATCGTCAGCCATACGCAAATATATGCATAGACCAAATAATACATTCAACCACCACGACGAAGCCAGCCATGGAGTAAAATGCATGGCGAATCTCTAAGTGATCGTGGGATTGATCAATACCGAACGCTTTGTACTTCTAGCTGTTCTCTTAGAACTTACAGCTAGGATTGGGCCTTTCAATGTTTACCGACAGAATCCAAACCACCAGTTCACTGCTTAAAACAAAGATAGTGGACATGCAGTGTGAAAAAACTTACGAATCTCGGAACGGGTGGCTTAAAATGGTAAGGATCGCCTCCTTTCGCAGCCACATGAAACCTAGGATATATTTATATGAGAAGTGTTTTGGAAGAGCAACAAGGGTACATCCAACTACAACTCACTTCTTTACGAGGTTATACAACTTTCTCCGTCTCTTAGAAATCGTTCCGGGTTTTTTACCAATATTGAAAAGCAGCTGAGCAATAGCACAGTAGTCAAACTGTAATTCTGAGTTAATATTTTAAGGGCAATGCGGGCCACACATTGCATAAAATTGGTTAAACTTAGAAAGAAACAGTACTTGGATTCCTGTAGTGGACTCATTATGAGTATCAGCACCCGCTTCCGTTTTAGATGCCAATTCTTCTGATTTTTGGTGTAGAATGGTAGCAAAGATTTCCGTAGCAATTGAGTTGAAAAGATAATCGCTGTAGAATCATACAAAGAGAATTGAGTGACTCATTCTTTCTCTTGAAAGAGGACACTGAAGGATTACCTAATTGACCGCTTGCCAAGTAAATCAGCAAATGGTTTCAGACAAGCGGTGATTTGCTTTTTCGTGATCCCACCTAAACAACGGAATCAATCCGACGGACGCTCTTATTAATCATAATGATGCTGAGACATCTGCAAAACGCCGGACCGCTGATGTCTACGGTGGGGATCGAAAACGCTGTCACCCCCTCTGGGGCTAACGCGTTCACTATCATATCACGCAAGTCCTTCGTTCGATTTTTTTCAGCTGCGTTATGACCTATAGGTGCTATCAGTAATCATCCGTCAGCTGGACCGATCTGGTGAGCACAAATCGTCATTTATACCACAGCTCTTATTAATTTCGAGAAACCTCTAATCTTATAATAATTCCCAGTTTTTAAACTCTTCGTAGTGCAAGTTCACAAGTAGACCTTGAAGCTTGTTTTTTGGTGCTCTTGAGTATTTCAGGATTCCAAAACTTTATAGAATTATAAAAGCGACTTTGCTCTATCGTATTAATGACATATACAACAAGTTATATTTCGCAATATACACCCTGCCATTAAAAAGAGTAGGCAGTAAATAAAAACGGTTAAGGTTGTGATTATCACTAAAACCTCAGCTTAACTGGGTTCATTGCCGATTTAGGCTCCCCAGATCAATCTCGCTGACGGGTGACTGCAGATGGCAAATGATCGATAGAACTAGCTGAGAGACAGGCAAAACGAAGGACCCGCATGGTGTGGTGGTGAACGTGTTACTCCCCGGAAAGAACAATAACGCGTTCGTTCCCCACCGCAGACACCTGCGGTCCGGAGTTTTGCCAATATCTCAGCGTCATTGGAGTTATATTACCAATTATAGAATCAAATATAGAGGTCAACGGGTCACCTACCTATATTATCCATCTCATCAAGGATAAGTGAAGCAAAATGGAACTTTAGCCCATCGGGATATGATCGATCTGAAATCGCAGCGCCTCGAAAATGATAGCAGCAACGAAAGCATATAAGAACATAACGGCTGATATCGTCGTCTGATTGAACGCATTCCAGTAAGCATCTCGTATAGACTTCTTCCACTTGATCGTAGACAAATGAGTGAACAAAACACGAAGAATACGACGCATCAACTAAAGTGCATAAATGGCTAAACGTTCCTCATACCTTTCTATTCTACTGCATTGCTTAGGAGTTAGCAACTAATCCAACTAAATGACTGCCTGGAAACCAATATGAGACTGTTGATTTAGTGAAAATAGCGATGCAATTAAAGTACAGCATCCTCTTATATGAGGTGCGTGCAGTACAATGGTCGGAAGCGCCCTGCAGTATGGATGAGATCGGTTCCCGTTCACATGGCTCACCAAGCCGTGCAATTAAAGTACAGCATGGCAAAAAGCATGGGTTGGCAAATTGAAACTACTGGGAAGATAACAGCACTGGTTCGAAGCATCAGCAGGTCACCGCGAGTCACTGTGTACTCCAAAGATGCAGCGAATCACCTCCAAACGATGCTTAATGAAGTGAATGCATAGCGCATCCCTCAGAGCTTGATCAACGCCGAGAGCTTTATCCTTTTATTTTAACTAAAGTCCCAATGCCATCTGCTTCCTTACAAGCGAAATAATTCGAGTCGAATATCCACAACGGTTATTTCTCACAATGTAGACGTTTGTAGTTATGTTAAGTCGAATCCATCTAAGTAAAACACCACACGGATGAAGTTACTTTTCTCGGTAGCCTCCTTTAGTTCAAAACTAAAATGCAACAGTACAAGGACCTACCATAAGAAATTTATCCATTCGCCATCTATCAATGTGATTCCATTCTTTTCCAAGACTCTTAAACGTGCAAAGAATGAAAAGAACACGTTCATCTTCACTTGAGAACACCGATAAAAGTTGGCCGATCCTGTCAGCTAATTCCTCCTGTAAACAAATCTGGAAACCTTAAGAACTTCTCCGTTGAAGAAAACACAGCACACATATAAGGCTAAAGGAAAACCATTCTGACCTGTAACAGCATTTTATCCTGCATCCACATTACATAATGAAGGCCTTTACACAGTCTTAGCATGTCCGCTTCAGTGAACGCTGAAAGACAGCTTTTCAATGGGCACTTTCACCGTGCAGTACTAAAAACAAACTGCTGTGACATATTCTGGAGTACCCATTGTTCTGCTAAGTACTTAACACTTCTGATCTACTCTTATTCTCGCAAAAGCTCTCGATCCGACCCCTTATAATCCTTAAAAATTAAACGAGAAGACAAAGTGAAGTCTCAATTTGTACCTCCACCTGTAAACCATCTATGAATCTTCAAATACTTGCATACCTGGATGGCCCATCCTCACTGGTTGTGTGGGCCCCAGTACATTCTCCACTCTTTCAGAGTTTCCCTGGTTTACCCACTACGGTTCCCTGGAGTCCTGAAGTCAGCCAGACCAAAGTCTGCATCAGGTCGCCACCACCACAGGCAGTCGCCGCACTTGTGGATCAGAGGGAGATTTGCCACCAAGCGACTAGTTTGATACCAGGGCGGTGGTGGATCATGGTATTGAAAGCTTCAAATAACAGGATGAACTCACGTTTAACTGAAGATTTCTCTTTGATCCAATCCTGTAATACACGAAATGCACGTTGACGAGTAACTGGTTCACCACAGGCTAATTTCTGGGCAAAAACCATTTCTACACTGGATAGGTCGACGTCCATAGTGTTACTCAGTGGATTCTTAAATGTTTACAAGATGATAACAGGAAGTTGGAAACTGTAAGTTAATAACTTTAAGGTTAATAGCTAAGGTAAAAGAGTACACTAAACACGACTGCCATTGATTTGTTACAATCTCTACACAGATCCGAAACAAAAGATATAATAACTGTAGTGATGCTGAGAAATTTACAAAACTTGGCGCTCAGAACAGATTCGAACCTTTGATTATCCTTTCCGAGGGATCCGGAAAACCTCCGGGAAAAGTAATCGCAAAGTCTAACTTATAGCCTGAGATTCCCTACTATAAGAAATAATAGTCACTAAATGAAAAGTTAAACTCGTTTGGAAAAAAGCTTCGGTTATGGTAGACTAGGTATGCCGCAGTTGCGTACAAGTTTTAAACATACGGCCATTTATTTTTCCTGTACCGGTATTTCATTCCCCTTCAAATTTTGTTCCTGAAATTTACTGTCGTGTATAGCCTATTCTATTTTCAAAGGAATAAAACTTCCACCGTTAATTATTTAACAAGTATAGGTTGCTTTTTACTAGTTGTCGAAGGGTTTTTGGAGCTATTTGCCTCTATTGTTTCACCGTTTTTATCTACATGGCCGATCTTCACACCTGCCGTACTGATCCCAGCCCATCCTTCGTTCGTTCCATTCCCTCTTATCCATCATTCACGAAGGTCTTTGAACTTTTCTGAATGTGGGTTCGAGTCCTGCTTGAAGGTTTTCCTTTCATCATTGATGTCGTTGAACGCTTGGCGAGTTGATTCTCCCTCAACTATTGCGACACCTGCGCTAGAGCGTTACTGCGTAGATTTGAGGGAGTTTGGCCCATACTAGTCTGGTACCAGTTGCTGGACTCAGAATGGGATAAGTATGGGAGCCTGGTATGGGGTCGAACCTTGCTCGTGATGAACAGCATCACTAGCACTACGCTACCCGTCCCACATTGTTTTTTTTGTCAGTGTTGGAATATATACTTATCTTCTCTAGGTGTCCTATAATATAATCCTTGAGTTCATTATGTTGTGTTCAGATGGCTTTCCGCGGGCGTACATCGACGGTTAGACGAAGCGTTCTTCCGAATCTTTCTTTAGCTGGAAAACGCGAAGAGAAAACCGCTCCTGTTGCACCAAAGAAGAAAAAGTTGGTTGACTTATCTTTTCGGAATTTTTTTTTGCTGTCTATTTCTTCAAGAAGGGATGGGAGTGGTCCTAAGAAGGGAATTTTTTCGTCAATCTGAACTCCTTTCGATGTGACAAACACGAGCCGCTTTTCTTATTTACCTTATTTTTGTTCGCCGTCTAAATCACTTTTGTACTTGCTTGGATGCTTGGATGGCCTACGCTCACTGATTGTGCCGGCTGCAGCATAATCTTCACTTTTTCGGAGTTTTGCTGGTTTAGCCATTGTGGTTCCCTGGAGACCTGAGGTCAGTCTGGCCAACGTCTGCCTTAGGTCGTCATCACCACAAGCAGTCACCGCCTCAGGTCCTCCCTTGTGGATTAGAGAAAAATTTGTCACCATAATAGTAGTTGATAGCAGGACCGTGGTGGGTCCTGGGATTGGTTTACCCTTCACTGGGCTTCCTGATAGAAATGCCGAAATCAGCTTGGGAGGCCCTGTGGGAGGATGGATCTACCCGCTGTACATCGCAGCCCGACACTCGGGAACACCTTCCAGCCACGATTGGGCGGTGAACCGTTGCTAGAATCGCAGTTATTGTCCTATCAATATAAATTAGGGCTTTTGAAGTGGGAATTATTAGGAAACTTTTATTCGTGTATACTTGACAGTATAATTAGGTTATGATTTAGAAGCGGTTCAAAAGAAAATCGTGGCGGAAGAGGTCGAGGACGTGGAAACCATGGAGAGTTTGAACGGCCTAGCTTGATAGAATCTTCAGGGATTTTTTCTGAAGGTCTAAGCGGTGCTGATCCTAGCCGGCGCATGAGATCGGTTAAGAGTGACTTAAGCGAACAGTGTGAGTTTTTTAGTTCTTTCTTATCTTTTCGTATTGTGTTCCTTATTTGATACAAACTTAAGATGTACCAAGTCCTTCTTGTGTGAAAGAGGAGCCGGTTAGTGAACTAGATCCTGAGAAGATACCGAGTTCATACTGTTGTTATGACGAACTTTGGGCCAGTGATGATGAAGAAGACATTCAAGCACTTAGAGAGCTCATCAGTGATGGTGTGAGTGTTCATCAGGAATATTTTTTGTCCAATTTCGTACTTCTGCTATGTTTCGTTTCAGTTCATTTCTGACTTCAAGCACGGTACTGTTTTACCGCATGTTTTACCTGTTGAGCTAGAGTCTCAGTTTATTGAATTGATGCATAAAGACGTCAAGCAGAACATTCTGGATCAAGAAGATGTGAAGATGGAGACTAATTTAGATGCCAAGGAACATATTCTAAGGTTGGGTTGGAGACATAAGGTTTTCGAAAACTGATCCGGTTGTAGTTCCTTTTATTTTAGAGATTTTGTTGAAGATCAAGAAGACAATGGAGAAAGTCCAACGTCCAAACGTAGTAGGAAAGCGGCTCGAATTCTTCGTGATATGAGAAAAGGTTTGCCTCGTTTTCTGAAAAGTTTTAGTTAATAACTTGATTGTTTCACATTTAATGGAGTGGGATATCTCAGTGCCACCGGAATAAGTTGAATACTGATTGTAGTCCGAATTTTCGGTTTGGCAGCCCTCTAAACTTCAAGTTACAAGTTCGTGAATTTTCATATTAAGAAAGCTGCTAATTGGAAGACATCTAAAGAGTTTCGAATTATTTTTAATGGTGCGATAAAAAGTGATAGAGCCGTATAGAGCAATAGTGTAGGTATTTGAAATAAAACCGTAATGATGATGAAATATTTGCAAAAATCCGAACCGCAGTTGTCTGCGGTGATAATCGAACACACTGTTACCCTTTCAGTAGGCCAACACGTTCGCCACTACACCATGCGAGTCCTTCGTTTCTCTTTTCTCTCAGCCAGTTTTCTATCTACCAGCACCATCAGCAATTTCAACAGGATTGATCTGCTGAGCACAAATCGACATTGAATCTAATTAATCTGAGGCTGTTAGCACCGGAGAGAGTAATAGCTTGTTCGATCCTCATCGCCGGCATCGGCGGTCAGGGTTTTGAAGATACGTCAGCGTCGTTATAGTTGTATTTTACATAATGTCCTGTTGTGAAAAATTGTAGTTAGCAGTAAATAAAAAATTAACAGTGTGGTATTTTCTTGTGCATGGTGAAATGTCTCAGCATTTTGTTTTCAGAAAGCCGTGGGCACGAGTTCTTTATGATTCAGCTACCAAGTGTGCTTAGACTACTGTGCCAGGAAAAGCAGTCCGAAGAAAATGTCGTTTTTCATTCTAGTCATTCTAATGGGAACCCTAAACTAGTGTGTTCTTTAATGTTCGATACTATAATAGTAGTTGTAATAGCTTTTATTTTTACATACTCGAAACAGCATTCTCGTAGACTGGCATTCAAGCCATGGAAGGCGGTGACGCTTTACTGAATTCTCATGAACGAACTGCTGTGCAACAGTTGAGTCTCCCATCAGGTCGTTCCATTGGAAAGTTGCTTGTGACGAAATCTGGTCGTGTACTTCTTCGTATCGGTGGCCACTCAATGGATGTTGCACACACGACGTCAGAAGGGCACTATCAGGTAGAAATCTCAAATTTTGTTGTTTGGAAAGTGATATGAAGGTTTCGGACGGTATTTTTGAAGGCATTTCCTTCATAACACTTGATATTCTCTGTTATATCTTAAAAATAAATAGTAGGGTTTGTTTTAAACAATGACTCGACCAACCCTAGGAAGAAATGTTAATTTCCATAATTAACACTTGGACACCCTACTTTCATCAGTTGGAGCTTGTGCAGTCAACTACGCCTACTTTTTCACTACACACGTGGTAGATCGAGATTAACCCATCTCGAAAGAAAAGTTACAGTTAATTCACGTCGGTCGATCCTTGGAGCATGACGTACTCGGGTTTTAACATCCTCGCTACGAGTGACACTTTTAGGTGTCATAATGATTTTCCGGTAGTGGCAGGTAAAGCACCTATAGGGGTGATTTTTTCCGGTGGTTTCTCTTAACAAATAGAACTATTTTCCTACAGTTGTGATGATGCTGAGATATTGACAAAACATGGATCCCAGTTCAGATTCGAACCCACGATAACCCTTTACCAGGACTCATGTGGTGCCCACTACACCACTAAGACCCTGTTTTGCTTTTCTTTCAACCAGTTTTATACCTAACGGCTCCATCAGGAATCACGGGAATGATCTGAGGACCACAAATCGGAATTGAATCCAGTTAAGCTGAGGCTACAATCGAAATCACAATGTTATTTTCCTAAATTTCTTATTACCAAGCTTATTATTAGCTTTTAGAACGCAGATATTGTATTTGGCGTTGGTTGGGGAAAGCTCCGTTCTCCGCCTAGAAACATATAAAAACCGTTTTCCGAACGAGTTCACAGACCAAAGTTGAGGTGCTAATCGATTACAATTCCAATTCAAGTTGCTATAGTGAGTGATACTTACCGTGTAGTGTGCGGGTATAAATGATACTGGAATAGAGACCCAAAGGTTGCAAAACACTTCCAAATGCTGACAGTAGTGTGTTTGTATGACGGACCGTGGTAACATATAGTAGGTAGCACCATAAATACCACTCAACTCATGTCCATGGAACGATAGAGCAAGGTTTTTCTTACAATCTATTCATGTTCACAACGCACGAATTTCTCTAGTTATCGGAAAATTATTATTTTTTGAAAACCAGCAAGTCCACAAAAGCTGAAAATGAGACGTCGTCCAGTCCACGACAGACTCGAGATTGGATTGGAAAGTGTTAATATCCTTGCAGACTTTGGTCATGGTGGAGACAAAGTCGAGCGCACGAGAGAGATTGCCTGTGGAAAACGGCGTTCATCGATATGGTAGTTGGCCTGGAGGCGGTGATGGAAAAGGTGCTGTTTATTATATTGGAAACGTACGGCATCACTTTACTGCATCCTTGGATTGGAAATCGTTGAAACCAATCGGATTGGAGGTGCGTTTTTTAGGCTTGATGTATTATCGGTCAAATGGAAAAGTCAGTTGACAATATTGTAGAAAAATTTCTTAATGATGCCGTTTACTAAGTGTTAAATGGAAGTTGTTAGGTACAAAGAAAGTACTTAAGGAAAGGTTGTTGTTAAAGGGGTGTGATGTTCAAAAGTTTAGTACTCAAATCATAACTCTTGATTGGTTTTGTAAAGATAATTTTAACTTATTATTTACTGCTTCCGGACCGCAGGTGTATGCGGTGGGGAACGAACGCGCTATTGTCCTTACCGGGGAGCAGCGCACTTCACCATCACTCCATCCGGGTCTTTCGTTTTGCCTGTCTCTTAGCTAGTTCTATCGATCTTTCGCCATCAGCAATCACCCGTCAGCGGGATTGATTTGGGGGGTCCAAATCGGCAACGAACCCAGTTAAGCTGAGGTCGCAGTTATAATCACAATTTTAACTTATTATTTACTGCCTACTCTTTTTAGAACTAGCTGAGAGACAGGCAAAACGAAAGACCCGGTTGTTGTGGTGGTGAAGTGCGCTGCTCCCCGGTAAGGGCAATAGCGCATTCGTTCCCCACCGCATACACCTGCGGTCCGGAGTTTTGTAAAGATAGTTTGTAATTTGTGGAAATGATAAGGATTCACAGCGAATGTAGTTCATATTGTAATGCTGTGCTTTGAACAACCAGTTCCAGTTTTTTGTTCCTTCCTATTTCCAAACAGTTCTTTTAAATCGCCTAGATTAGTCTTATTCAGCACCTGTACAGATCAAGAGAGAGTCTCCGTTCGTTCATCTTTCGCTTACGATTGTCGTCCTTGTACGTAGTTTGTTCTCTAATTACTTTTGCAAATTTCTTATAGGTTAGAAAGTCATTATCTGTTAAGTGTTACAGTCGTAACCCTCATGATCGAGTTCCTATCGAACTTGAACAATAAATTAATGTTTTCATCTTAAACAGACCCGAAACTCCTGATACAAAATTTATTTTTATTTAACAGTAGCTAACATTTAGGTGGTTTCCGATTTCCGGAAAAGTCCAATTGGTACGCATTTTACTTAGCAAAACACTATTATGAAAAAGAAAGCAGGAAAATGCTCAAAATCTAAATTTTGATCACATGGGAAACGGACTTTAAAAAAGTCGTCGTTTTTCATAAGTCTTTAACTTACTGATAATGATCAGTAGTGCAGTTTCCAGAAGTGAGGAATATTCCTGTATTAGGTGAAAAAATCAACTTGAGCTAATGAGCGAGGTCGTGTCTGATTACGTGGCAATTCTCCACGCAGTTCATTCTTGCTATTTTTGGGTCTTTCCAAAACGCCGTGTGAGTTTTGCCAACTAGTTTTTTAAATCCTTATGCAAGGATAGTGACTTTTACTTCAAAATCTTCTCTGTTATGCCTTTATGTCCTATTCGCGTCCAATGGAGTGTTTCCTTTAAGTTTATTGACCAGGTATTGTTTTATAGGGATACTAAGTGGTTTACGCGTTTCTCCAATATATTTATTTGTCTCTGCACACTGTACAAGTGCTCCTTGACGTAACGGATCCGAATTTGTTCAGTCGCTGTCTTTACTGTTAGTTCGAATCATGGAATATTTCGTTTTATTAGGTTGCCTGGAAATTAGTGTAATATTCTTAACTTTATTTTTCTTGTATAATTTAACGACAACTCTCTCTCGAATGCTGTACGATTATACATCATTGCGAAACTTATCCCAATCCACTTCGTGTTTATACTGTAAATCGTAACTCCCACAACCGGTTTTCTATTAACCTCAGTATTGATCAGGTGATTCTCTATATTCTTCTTGAACAAACACGAGGTGTTACTTTATTCTTCATTTACGAACTAACTGACGTTTCGGCGTACTTCACTTTCTTTAGTGCCTGGAAAAGTCAACTTGATTGCAGTCTACTCAGCCAAATATCTCCATAGCCAAGTAGAGAAGATGGTAAACCAAAATTTCAATCGTGTTGATTTCTTCGCGCACTCACCGCTTTCTGTAATCCTCCGCTGAGCATTTCACTTGGAGACCAACCGCGCAGATGTCACATGAAAGTGTTTTGTCCCTCTTAATTTAAAATATCAATCTTAAATACTGTATGACATCACGCGTAATTAGATGGAATTCCTTTCTACAGTTCATTTTTGGATTCTTGGGATTTATCCCGAATTCTTCGAGAGTTTTGTGTGCTTAAGTTCTCGATTCCTGTGCGAGTTTGTATCCTAGTGGAGTATTTGGTTGAACTTGAAGTTTATCGACTAGATGTTTCTTTATACGAATGCAGGGTTGACTTCCCGTTTCGCCAACGTATTTGTGCCTGCACGAATTCCAAAAGATGAGATAAGCTGTACCCGAATTCCTGCAGTCATCGTCCCTACCATTGGCGTATGTTACAGTTTTGTCTTGCACATACATGGTCATATAGGCGATTGCGAACTAGCTGACGTATTAGAGTGCTCGCTGGTATTTTAATCAATAGAAGGATAAAGCTCTCGGCGTTAGTCAATCTCTAATGGGTGCGCCATGCATTCGACTTCATTAAGCATCATTAGAGATGATTGAATGCATATCTGACCCATATACTAACTCGCGGTAGCCTACCGATGTATTGAACCACTGTTGCTATCCTCCCAGACAAGTGTGTTAGTAATTTGTCGACTCCGCAATAATGGAAGATTCTTCGTTCTAGCGGTGCTCTACTTCACTGGATTTGACTCGATGCGAAAACAAACACGCACATCACGAGGACGGCCACCTGTGGATCATCGACTCGGATCGATCTTACTCTTAAGGAAACGGGATGGTCGAAATATTAGCTGAACAAGCACACTAACGAACACTTTTTTAGCAGCTTCCTATTGACGTAATAATGCAAGAATGTACTGAGCACAATAGTTTTCATTCGGCACGCATTTCTTCAGTTCAGCAGTCATTTCAAACAGGCGCGGAGTACTCTCATTTCGATCTCCGGTACTTGGTGACTGTCCTCTGATAGATAGTAGTGCATTCGTGTAGTGTGCTTTGTTTGATAGAGTTTGGAACGACTCGATCGTTTAGGCATCGTCGGAGAAAGTACGTATTTGCCCTTCGAACATTTTGAGTGTTTTTCGACTGTTGCTTGACGATTTCGTCTTATTTATGAAGGTCATAGAGTGCAGGTTGAGTCGATTCGCCCTGTAATATTGGGGATGGCCGACCTTGGGCGTTCTGACATGGATCAGGCGAGAACGATGGAGAGAGAGTCGAACCAGCGCCTTGCTTCCTGATGGACTGCAGTACTGATAATTGTGCTGTCACCACGCACATCACATATTATCTATTGAAGTTGTGAAATTTTAAATCTGCATGCTGGCTCATGTCATGTTCTGCTGAGATATGTGCAGTCCACTTTTTTTTCCTACACACAACATCGAAAACATTAGAGTGTTATTAAATCCTGTTGCCATACGTTTAGCTGCTATCATGATAATGCTTAATGGCTATTTTAAGAACTCATCACCAACAATATCTGGTCCATCTTCGTCTTCACGAAAAATAAGGAATCCAGTGGAAGAGAAAAGAATGAAAGAAGAGCTGACCGAACTGCATCAACAACTATCCGTTGACATAGCGGATGCCTTAAGT